GAAAATACTCGCTGAGTGCGCTGGCTTTTTCTTTGTTGGTGATGAACGTTTTACCCAGATTTGTCAATGGAGGCATTGTTTTTGAACCTTTTTTGCAAAATTTTGCTATTCTCCAAACTGTTTGGTTTGACGGTTGAATCTCTGAGAGACGCTTATTCCAGTTTTTGTTTTTGAGTTCTTTAATTTTCTCATTGATGACTCTCTGCAGATAATTCAATTCAGATTTAAGTTGATTATCTCTGCTTCTCTGCCATCTTCGACGAAGACTCCTTTTTGTATTGATTAGATCTTTAATCTCCGGTGTGAGTTTAGTTGATTCGAACTTGATCTTTTTCATTTTTACACTTGAGTTCCTCGCTTCCATGATGAGTTCAGAGAGAATCTTAATGTGATTCTCGATCTCATCTGTTGTATTGCAAGAATTTTCTCCAATGTTGTCTTCAGTGCGGCGTGAAATTTGTGCTTTGAACTTTTTCCAGTTTGCGTTTTTGTAGTCATATCTGTAGACTGTATTTTCAGTTCTGTCGATTTTTGATGTTTTGATTTGGAAATACACAGCGCAGTGATCACTCATTGCCTCTGTGCATTGAAGTTCTGTTGTTTCGAGGTTGGAATTCGAGAGCATCAGGTCAATTGTTGACACTGATTTGTTTCGATCTTCTGGGTAGTACGTTGGCGAGTCAGGAAAGTAGATCATGAACTCTCCTGACATTTCCTGAAGAATATTTCCTGATTTATTTGCAACGTTGCAGTTCCATTCTCGATGTTTTGCATTGAAGTCTCCACAGATGTAGTAATTTCCTCTCAGATTTGTTATTTTGTTGATGTCATCTCTCAGATGTAGATCTATTTCCCCTCCTTTGCTTCCTCCTGGGAGATAGACTGAGAGGATGTGACAACTATCCGTGTCATTGATGAAGACTTTGATTCCAATGCATTCCATTAGTTTTGTGTTGTAGCTTGGTTGAAGCTGATGTTTTAGATTTCTTTTGACGATGATTGCAACACCACCCTTTGGTCTATCCACGCGATCCAATCGATGAATTACGTAGTCTGGATGCGAGTCAATTTTTGAGTTTGGTTTTAGGAATGTTTCTGAGATGCAAGCAACATCGACGTTTTGCTTGCTTAGGTAGTCGAGAAATGCTAACATTTTGTCAGTGAGGCCGTTAGCATTCCAGTAGAGGACGTTGATACTTTGTTGTCTACAATCCATTATTGTACGCGGTGTTTTTGGCACTTGAGCCGATTGCTTGGAGTATTTCGTCGATGAACTCTGGATTTTTGGCGATTAATTTGAGAAGCTCGCTGATAAGGTACTTGCACTTTGATTCCTCTATTTCTGAGATGTTTTTATCTCTTGTGCTGGTGCTTTGAGCTTGTTGATTAGTTGTTATGTTTCGATTCACTACCTCAACACTGAATGAAGGTTCTGGGAAGACTTCATTCGAGGTCTGACTTGTTGCACTGATGTCTTCTGAGTCCATAAGCTCAACATCTTGCTTTGGTTTTTGATGTTGATTGTTATTAATGCGCTCGTTTTGCTTTTTTCTTTGATTCTTTTTCCAATGTTTTCCTCTTTCTTTATTGTTTTGTTGGTTGATCAAGTTATTTTTATTTCCCTGATTTGAGGGTTTGTGATTTGGAGGAGGATTTGTGTTCCTTGGTTTGTGGTTGACTGGAACTTGTTTTTGATGAACAGGCTTTTGTGTACCAGATGTTGATGGTTCCATATACTCCTTTCTCCATTGAGGTTTTGCTGCATGTTGGACGTTTCTGGTTGATCTCTCAGGACGATGCGGTGTTGGAGGATTGTTTCTCCGTTGTCCATATGAATAATGGCCTGCTGTTTTGTTTTGATTTTGGTTGTTTCCATTCTGTGATTTTGATTTCCATTTTTCAATTATTTCTTGTCTGGTTTTACAACCTGTGAAAATTGCTGTATGTTTTTCACCGCAGAAGAAACATTTGAGTTTTCCGAGTGGAACCTTGTTGGTCTCTTTCGATATGTACTGGCACGTTTTCGAGTCATGTTGCTCAGAGCATCTGAAGCAAACGGACGGTTTGTTACAACCGTTTTGTCCATGACCAAACTGCAGACATTTCGAACATTGAGATGGTCCAGCTTGTCTATTTTTGTAGTCAGCCCATTTAATTTTGAAACTGCTGACAATTTTGATTTTTCTGAGGAATTCCAGGAAATTTCCACCTTGTTCTACATCTTTTTTGAAGTACACGAGGTAGTTCTGGTCGTCGTCTTGTTCGTGTCTTTTGTGTTTCATTGTCATTTTGACAATTTTTACTGGTGTGATTTTTACGGTTTGAAGTTCCTTCTCCAACTCACTGATTTCCATATCTGGGAGTCCATAGAGTACGTACTTCTTCAGTGGTTCTTGGCTGGAGTATGTGTGGAAGTGATGCTTTTTGTCTTTGAGTAGTTGGATGAATTTCTCGTAGTAATCCCAACTCTCCGTTGTTACCGTTTTTGTTCCTTGTTTGCCCTTTTTGGTCTCAATTAAGAAACTTCCAGGTTGATTGTTTATTTCATTCGTCAATCTCTTGATTTCACCAGCTCCTCCTGTGCTGATGACAATTGGAGGTGGTTTTGATTTTTGTTGAGATTTGTTGTTGTTGCTTTCCGTGTTTACGGAAATTGTCTTTTGTTGCTCTGATGTTTTGCTGTTTTCTCCCCAGTACGAAGAAGTTGTCGATCTTTTTTTCTCCTGTTCTGGTGAACCAAATAGATACGGTACTCCAGAAGACGAAGCTTTCTTCACTGGTGGGAGTACGAACAGTAATTTGTTCCCATCTTTTGGTTTGCTTTCGTTTGCTACTCTTTTTAAAAGAGCGTTGGGAACTATCACTTCTCGAGGGCGTTTTTCTGCTTTACTTGCTTCATTGAGAAACTTTTTTATTGATATTTGTTTTTTTGGTTTGAGATTTGTCATCTCAATGTCGGCTGCTTGTGAAACATCTTCACTGAAAATTTCCTCAATATTGAGAATTTTCACTGAAGATGAATGTTGTTGTTGAGAACTATTAAGTCCATGCTGATTTTGAGAAAGATTTTCTTCGTTGTTGGTAGTTTTTGGTGATGCTACCATTTTGATGTTTTGAGAATCAAACTGAGATTTTGAAACTTTTTGCAAACAAAAAGCTTCTCAGGTAGTCTCTGTTTTGTTTCTTTTGAGATTTTTGAATAATTTGCGGAGCGATTTGTAAACACGTCTGTTCACGTTGAGATCTAGTTTGCAACTGATGTTGGCAGTTGAAGCACTGCGTTGGGCTTTTGTTGCCCTTCTTGATGTTCTCCCACTTGACGATGATGTTGTCGATGTTACGGTGGTTATGATTGAGCACGTTGATGTTCACACTTTCATCTTGAAAATGCACAAGATAAAAGGTGAACTCGGGCTTCTTGACGAGAATTGTCACTTGGACAGCTGAAACCTTGGCTTCTTGAAGTAATCTTAGTACTTCATTCGTTGGTGTTTCGTAAAATCCTTTCAGAACGAATGACTTTGTTTTCTCCGATTTCTCGGAGAAGGTGTGGAATTGAATAGTTTGAGACCGCAGAAGGTTTATTATTGAGGCCTTATCCTCAATAGACTTGACAATTACTTGAGTTGTATTTGATGATGAAATTTTATATGCAGGCATAACCTGCAATTTCAATAGTGAAATTAATTTTCTCACATCCTTGAGACTGCATTGCACAAATCTTGGCTTGACTGAAGTTGTTGTTGTGACTGGAACCGATGATTCCTCTTTCTGAGGCGTTTGCTTCCTCTTCTTGGAATTTTCATTAGATTTGATTGAACTTTCGTCCAAATCAATTTTTGGCGACAAATCTTGCTTTCTTTTTGCCTTTCCTCATTGTCCTTGAGGAAAACACAACCCTTGGCACTTAGTAAGAAGGTTTTTTCCAACTAATAACGACTTGGACACTTTAATTAATTTAATAAAAAATTTTCCACGTTTTTGTTTTCTGGAATTATAAGCCACACGTAAAGTTTATAAGTCCAGATATAAAATGTACCTGGACTTAAAAACCTCTCGTGCAGTTTATAATTCCAGCTGTTTTTGTACCTGGACTTATAAACCTTTAGTCACTTTGATTTTCTGGACTTATAATCTCTGGACTTATAGTTTCTGGACTTATAACCCAGCATCCTGACTCTGGACAAGGTGGGGGGCAAGGGGAGTGTCAGGGATATTTTGTGAAGCCGTATAAAGCCAATGATTTGAGGGGTTGGTGTCAGTTGTAGGTGGAGTGACAAAGTGGGTGTCAGGTGAGGGGTGGGTGTCAGGTATATTTTGTGAAGCCAATGATTTGAGGAGTGCTGGGGGGGTGGGGGGGGGGGGGGGGTTGGATCCGAATTTGAGGGGGTTTGTGGGAAAAGTTTGGTGTCAGGAATATTTTGTGAAGCCATACAAAATTTTGTGAAGCCATGCGAAGCTTTGTGAAAAGACATGGTGGGTTTCGGGGGAATTAAAGTTTTAGTGGGATTAAGGGGGTCCGAGTTTGAGGGGGTTGGTCAAGACATTTATAAAATTTTTGTGAGATTAAGTCCGAGTTTGAGGAGGTTTGTGAAGCCATGTGAAGTTTTGTGAAGCTATTTATAAAGTTTTTACGGGATAAAGGAAGTCCGAGTTTGAGGGAGTTTGTGAAGCCATTTATAAAGTTTTAGTGGGATTAAGAGGGTTCGAGTTCGAGGGGGTTTATGAAGCCATGTGAAGTTTTGTGAAGCCATTCATAATGTTTTAGTTGGATTAAGGGGGTTCGAGTTCGAGGGGGTTTATGAAGCCATGTGAAGTTTTGTGAAGCCATTTATATAGTTTTTGTGGGATTAAGGAAATCCGAGTTTGAGGGGGTTTTGAGGCCCCCTGTGAAGTTTTGTGGCCAAGTGAAGTTTTGTGGTAGGATTGACCTTAAAAACATTATGGTTATTTACGTCTTACAGTTATTTACATAATAATAATCAAATTTTAACCCTGATAAGAGGCGCCACGGGCGCCTCTGGATAGCCTAGTTATTACATATTTGGATATTTCTAGCACTCAAAGTTGTTATATTTATTTCCAGAACAATATTGAAGGCACCACAAATTGTATTGTTAGATGAAGCAACATCAGCATTAGATACAACCACAGAACGAAACATTCAATCTGCTTTAGCTCGAGTTTGTAGCAATAAGACAACCTTAATTATAGCTCATCGATTGTCAACAATTATCCATGCTGATGAGATTTTAGTCATGAATGATGGACAAATTGTAGAGCGAGGAAAGCACGAACAATTATTGGAAGAAAATGGACTTTATGCTGAAATGTGGAATCAACAGCTGAAGAATTTAGAAGGAGAAAAGTTAAGGGACGAAAAGGCAGAAGAAGAAGAAAAAAAGAACAATGTTCCAACGACTGCTGCATTCCATCATCATCATCATCACCACTAAGGGATTAAGGGATATATTTAAATATTAAGGTTGATTTGGATCAAAATATTAATTAATTAATTAATTATTAATCGTTTTTTTTTTGTAGTCAGAAGGTGATTGAATAAGCATAACTTTTATTTTCTTATATTCAAAATTATAGCTGTGAATAAATGTCACTAGGACTTTTTTTTTTGATTTCCTTGCATCAATAAACATTCAATTATATATTTTATTAATGAATGTCAAGTATGAAAAGCATAAGTAGATATTTTGTGTCGGTTCCTCGTAAAACTTTAATCATATTTTACTTACAAGCTAATACATACACAATCATCAAAGTTAAATCTTATTAAGGAATACAATTCGATTAGTTTAAGTTGTGAATGACTTGTGCCAAACCTTGCTTCATCTGTTGATCAAAGACTTTTGCAGGTATGCCTCCAGTGTGTCTGAGTTCGTGCCTTCGATGATCACTATGATGAATGAATGTTCGTTCACAAAACTTGCAGCTTTAAATGAGCAAGAAAAGATTTATTTTTAAGTAATCTCAAGATTTAAATTAATTAATTGTAGGATTTAAAATCAACGTACCTGTAAGGTCTTTCGTTTTTGTGGATTCTCTCATGAATAGTTCGACATGAAGATCGTGTGAAGCTCTTTCCACAGTTGAAGCGACATGAAAATTTCCTCAGATTCAAATGGACTGTCAGTTCATGGTAATTTAATAGAGATGCATGAACGAAATCTGCTGGACATACTTTACATTTAAATTTCCTTAATTGGAGATGAACTCTCTCGATATGATATTGCACTTTTATTTTTTTATCTGCCTTATAGCCACACATATCGCAGCTATGAATGAGCATTTCTTCTCCTCTTACGGCAATGAGATGTCTGTTTTCATGCTGCTTTAGAGCATTCTTGCTGCCCAAGAAGACACCACAATATGAGCACGGAAAAGATTCTTGGACACGCTTTTTTGGTGTATTGCTATGCATATTCTCAATATGACGATCGACATAAAGTGGTATTTTAAACTTTTTACGACAACCTTCTATGGGACATGGTATATATTCTGTGAGTGGAATAATTTCATGCTTAACTTTAATATGATTCTTCAGACGTTCTTCACTCCACAAGTTTTTGCCACAAATATCGCAGATTCCTTCTTTATTGCCACCTCGAATATATGATCTTTTTTGTGATGGATCTTTCTTTTCTTTTTTTGGTGACTTCTCCTTTTTAGGTGGCATTTGACTGAAGAAGTCATCATCATCGTCATTAAAATCATCACTACTGCTGCTATCTATATCATCATTTCTGTCAAAATTGTCATCATTCGAAACGGTATATTGATTAACATTCCAATCACTTTGATCGAGATTAGAATCGAGAAATTGAATTGGCTCAATATCATCATCTCTCATTGTTTGTTCATGCTTAATTTGAATATTTTCCAAGTAAAAATTTTCACTTTCATCAAGCTTATATTCTCTGAATATTTCAGCTTCTTTGTCAAGAGACAAGTTATTGAAGAACTTGTCAGCCACTAGAATATCAAAAAAGAGTTAAATTAACTTTCTTTTGTGCAAATTAGACTACATACCTAAAGCCATTTTCTTAAATCTGTATGCAATTTCGAGATTTCCCTTACATCGATCACATATTAATGCCGGTGCTATATCCATGAATTCCATTACCTAAATAAATCAGTAATATATCATTTACAGCCTTAAAAAACTCAAATTAAGTGCTATTTACTGTAATATTAGTTGTGAAAAAAAATTGAACTGATAATTGCTTATTTTCGCCAAATAATCTCGTAAACTTCTCTTTTTTACTTTCTGGTGCTAAGCATACACGGCATACTTTTACAAGATTTATATTTTCATCCATTGTTAATAGAGAAAACTTGATTTAATTCACAAAACGAATTTGTGCTTGAAAAAATTATTGTATATTGACATATGGGGCTGTTCACTTATTACGTTCGCTTTTTTGGGGGGAGGAGGGGGGGTCTAGGATTTTGTAACAGCTCAAAGTTTGAGAACAAAATTTTCTCATACAAAATTTGTAACAAGAGGGGGGGGGGGGTCGTTTTTTTGCGTAACGTAATAAGTGAACGAGCCCTTTTATAATGACAGAATTTACTAAAAAGTTACTGTCCCCGTGCAACACAGATTCAGTTTTGCTCATTTTTTTTGCGAGTGAATAACAAAATTAATTAATTTAAATGGAAGAAAGGATATGTCGGGTATGCTTATCATCCGAAAGTGTTAATAAGTTTATAAGTGTATTTGAAAATAAGCTGGCATTAAAGATATTCCTTGTGACTAGTGTAAAAGTGAGTTATTCTTTTTTGTTTACGTTAAATTTCACTGTTTTTGACTAGTTTTGACGTTAATTATTTTGTATAGATAATCGAGCTACAAAATATACCAGCATTAATATGTAAATCATGTGAAATTGAAGTGTATCAGTGCATCAATTTTAGAAGAAAGATCCAAACGTCTCAGGAATATTTCGATAATAAACTGCCGTGCATCGAAACGTTCGTTGAAACGTATTTTGAGAATGTAGAAGTAATAGACAATAACGTCTTAGAATTAAGTGCCAAAGAAGAAATAATTGAGGAATATTTGGAATTTCCAGAAGAAGAAAATGTTGTTGAGCAGATTGTTGAAAAAAGTCCAAGAGAGACTAGCATTGCAAGTAACGAGATTCCAATAAGAAGGTACGACTCATATGTTTTTAAATAGCTCTAATGTCAAAAGGGAATTTCCGTTAAATTCAGATTGTCATGCCGTTATTGCGGTTTAAAATTGTCAAGAAGACAGCGACTTATACAGCATGAAAGACTGCATTTTTTGGAAACAGCCACTAAATATACCTGTGATAAGTATGTCTCTAAATCATTTAATTCCAATCAATTAAATATAAATTATGAATAGATGCGGCAAAAACTTTAATCAGCGATTTGGCTTGGTTCCGCATTTTAAAAAGCATCACGGATATAGAATAGACAAGTTTAAAGAAAGATGGAAGTGTGCAATATGCAAAGATAAAATACTTGCTCCAGGAAACTTGGAAGTTCATTATCATAAGCTTCATAAAGAGTTTTTTGGATCGAATGTGAACGAAAAAGCTGCTCAGACAAGTAAGAATTCACTAAATAATAAGTCAAAGAAAGAGCCTTCAAAGAAACTGATGAGAAAGGATTTGAGGAAGCCAAAGACTTTTTTTCCATGTGAAATTTGCGGAAATAGCTTTACAAGTTCAACAAGATATCACAAACATTTGAATCACGTTCATGGCATAAGAGAACAGGAAGAAGAAAAACTTTTAAACGGTGAGTCAGATCTTTTGTCAATACAGCACATAGATGACCAAAAAAAGCATATTCCATGCTCAACGTGCGGGAAATTGTTCACTAGCCTAAACACTTGCAAGACTCACGAAAAAATACATTCTGGGTTGCAATACATTTGTGATTTGTGTGGATCATACTTTTCAATGAAAGTAAGTAAAATTTCCTTAGAAATTTGTCTACATCTGTATATAATCGATCTCTATATTATACAGCCTTACTTAACATCGCATGTTCAGAAAGTTCATCTCAAACTAAAAAGGTAAATAACTCGATTCAACTTAAATTTACTTTATGACATTTAATCCGTTTACTAGATTCAAGTGCAGCATGTGTAATAAGAGCTTTATACACAGGGAACTACTCAACTATCACATCAAGTAAGTTTTATTGTCATTCATAAGCATCAATTTAAATCTTTTTCTATTTCTACTTAATAATTAGGAAGCATCTAAATATACGTAATTATTCATGTCAATTCTGTCAGAAGGTGAGCATTAGAACTCGAAATTATAAATTTTTATAAAACTTAAAAAATCAATTTTCTTTTAATCCACAGACTTTTGTCAGAAAGGTAACACAAAAATTAAGACTTTATTATTATAAAAATTATTCTTTGATTCATTGACAGGCTTGTGCCTTGATACACGAAAGAATCCACAAAAATGAGCGTCCGTTTTCGTAAGTACAAAGCTTAAGATATGATTATTAAATCAGGGGACATTCACTAATATCTAGGTTTTGTGGAAAACAGCTGTTTTGAAAAACAGTCTGTTTTCGGTTTTTGATTTTTAAAAACAGCTGTTTTCCTGTTTTTCTAGAATTCAAAATAAACTGAGTTATCCTAAGTGTTTCTCTAAGATAATGAAACTTTTTGGTGGTTATAAGCAGTTAAGCATACATTTTAGAGCTAAGCATTATTATTTCTTAATTTTTTTGAAAGTAACATTGCATTGTTGCATTGCAAAAGTTCCATTTATGGAGCAAAATTAATAATGATTAACCATAAATTTGATAATGATTTCAAACCTATTAAACATCCAAAAAATATTAAAATAGTAAATACATTTCAATTTAGAATGCTAGAAAAATATATTAAGTTCTTCAAAAAATTAAGATTTTTTTTTTCTGTAAATTATATGTAAAAATGAAAAACAAAAAACAGATCTGTTTTTGAGACCTGTTTTCTGTTAACAGATTTTTGTCGAAAAACAGCTGTTTTTCTGTATTCTGTTAACAGGTTCCCCAAACCCTACTAATAACGTACCTTTTTGGTACTAAATAGGTTTTTGACAATAGAAATTTTGAATGAATGGATGAGGTTTCAAAGCAAATTAATTTTGAAGTTAATCCAAACTGATTAGATTCAGTTTTTATATGCGTTGAAGTCACTCGTATAGTGAACAGTCAACATCTTAACTGGTCAAGAATATTCTTAACATTAAAATAATCATAATTAATAACATAATAACAATAGACATACTAAGAAGTTTAAATAGCACTTCATTAAACAATGTTTTTATTCATCATGTAAAGCTGCAAATTTTGTGAGCGAACCTTCATTCATCATAGTGACCATCGAAGGCACGAACTCAGGCACATCAACAATACATCCTATAGAAGTTTCAGAACGGAATAAAATTGGAATTAAAACTGTCAACAGTTAATCATGAGTGAGTTATAGATAGGAAGGCAGAATAATAATGATAAAGTATGGAGAATCTCGAGCTGGAATCAAGCAAGAAATAATAAGTAGCTATTATGGTATTTTATAAGCACACAAATAGGTGAAAAGTAAATAAGAAGAATAAAAGCGAGATAAAATTTATTATGACTGGAATATCGCGCATGAAACGCGGAAGAAATGCAGCACATACGTAAAACGAATAAAAAATTCCTCAATGATTTAAACTTTTGAATTAGAATTAACTTTATTAATTTTACAATACTTTTATTTATACATGATTAACTTGTTAAAACATCTCTGTTGTCTTTCAACACTTAACATGCTTAATTTAATTATAACTTTTAAGAAGGAACTTTGTGTGAGTTTTATTTGTTTTAATGGACAATGTCATGGCTTTATGTTCATTTTTTTATTATATTTTGTTTGGTCGGTGAAGAATCTTATTGGCACTCAATAAAAGCAAGAAACCTTGATCTTGTGATCATCAGAAATTTAATACGATCATAATAGATGCTTTTTATTGCATGACACAGCATTTTGTCAGCTGTTTCTAGTTGTTGCTAAATAAGGTGATAATGATGTCGGACATTTAAATTCTTCAAGTTCTCGTCTGAAGAAATGCAATCGCTTACTTTCAGTTGTCAACATTGAATTCCAAAGTGCATTTGCAGCAGTCGCGTGCCCTTTTTGGCTCAAGTGAAAGCAGTCTTGAGACATGTATGTAAAATCAGTATTTCCGTTCGGATATTTAGGAATATCACCTTTATCTAAGAACGGATGAATGTTGACCTCAAAATCCTATTTGGAAATAAATAAAGTCATGACATTTTAATCCACAAGCGAAAATCTAAAACTTACGTCTGTATCATGAAATTCTGGCATTTTAACGACTTCTTCAAATCGCTTCTTCCAAAGCTTAATCGTATTAATAGTTCGTTGTCTATTTGGTAGATGAGTTGGACTGAACATGCATGGACATTCTAAGTAATGTGCAACTTTGCATACATCAGGACGATTTAAAAATCTCGTTGTGATACTAACGTCAGGGGTTAAAACGACATTGACCAAAGTTCTTGGCAAGTGTTGCTTTAATATTCTTAACACAAGTATTAATTCATTGGCAGCATCTTCCACAATTTTATTTTGGTCATTAAAGTAGCAAACATTTAAGCAAAAATCATTGCCACCAATCAGATGTGTTATAAGCTTCCAATGTTTCTTCATATCTACATTTTTATCACTTCTCATTCTTTTAACTAGATTTTTTGCTTGTATAACAGTATCTTGACTCATTGCTCCAGCTTCTGCAACGTTAAATCTTGATGATTTTTCATACGAGTTTGAGTATTCACTGATTGAATATCCATAAAGATTAGGATTATATTCTTTCAAGATATTAGGGAGGGTCATATAGACTCTCCAAGTCCCTTGACCTCCAATACTCCAGGAAACACCTCTTCCTTCTAATAATAACTGCAATGGATTTGTGGCAAAAGCTCCATTTCCAGCAGTTAAAGAATCACCAATTGCACCAATTATATCAACATCACCGGGTGTCAATTTATGTACACTATTTGGAACTTTTTCAGACCGAGCGCCATAACGAACATCACAAAAGAAATTATCTTTTTCAGAGAACTGCCTCTGTAGCTTATTACTATTTAAATTTGTATTAAAATTTCGTTGTTGTATCCGAGGTTTAATTAAGGATATAATCTTGTCCTTTCCATTTCGGAAAATTCCAGTAAACTTATCATCTAAAACCGTTCGTTGACTATTAATTAATCCCAAATAGGCTACTAATGTCAAAAGCTGTAAAGTTCTGAATTTCATTTTTTGTTTATTAAATTCTTTAAAATTGATAAATAAATAAACCAGAATGAAATTCCAACTTGCTAGTGTCGCGTCTCGGTAAGAACTAAACTAACTGAATGATGATCCAAAAGATTCTTCATATATTCTAATTTTAATACACACATATACAACAAACAGCAGATAGGAAAATCTGTTTGTCGTTCGTACGATAATCGATGAAACATGTTTTGCTCAAGTTTTGCTTTTTGTGTGCTGCTATTTTGTCAACAAATCATTTCCCTATACTCACCTATTTGATTCCAACAATTATTATTGATAATTACCGACTGGAAAACACACATTAATTAAAAAGATCTAAAATTGATTCTAAAGATAACTTTTCGTTTTATTCATCAAATCTTATTGAGCATATTGAGAATTGAAAGTTATTGCCTGTGTTGTTGCATGACATCTATTTGTATGATTCACAAGCTCACTTTTCTTCATAAATCCTTTGCCGCAATTAGGAACTGTATAAAAATTGTAATGTTTTACATGCTAACATAATGCTTGTAGTGCTATAAACAGGGTGGGGAGATTTTTTGCGATTTAAATCAAAATCTTACGGCCTGTTTTACTAAAGTGGATTATCCTCGATTTCGGATTATCCACTTCAGTTTTTTGGAAATATCTCCAGACGCTTAAGGTTATTAAGAAATCTAATGTGTGATCTAGTTAGAGTATTTTGCTACTTAAATTAACATAAACTTAGAATTTTTATATCTTCACTAGTTTGAGAATTATAGCAAAAATCGAAGTTAATCTACTAGATTTGGCTAGAAAATTGAATAATTAATACTTCTTAACGAAAAGCAAAAGTTTTAGGTACACAGAAATTTCAGGCATACTTCACTCTATTATAATCCAAAATTAGAAATACCACACCTCCCATAAAGTTTAAGATATTTACAAAAACCTGAAGTGGATAATCCGAAATCGAGGATAATCCACTTTAGTGAAACAGGCCGTTAGAGTTTATTTTTGATTTTGATTTAAATCAATTTTGCAAATGGATTTTTTGGGGATTTTGATTTAAATCATTTTTGCACAGGGATTTTTTTGGGGATTTTGATTTAAATCATTTTTCAAAATGATTTTTTTTTTTGGGATTTTGATTTAAATTTCTTGTATGAAAAATTTTTTTTGGGATTTTTAAATCCCTCCATATAAAATTTTTGTATGCAATTCCTCAAATTATTTTTTCAAATCAACAGTTTTCAGTTGCAGTTCCTCATAAGTAAGAATGCAGTTGATCCTTTTTCGGACAGAATCTTGCAACTGGATCTTTTAGATCCAATCATTTCTTTAATAAAGGTTACAGAAACCAATGTTTCCATGCTGTTTGACTTATACGAAAAACAATTCGTGATTTTTAATCTTCTGTGCCTTGCTGCTTACATTTAAATAACTTGACTTCATCAAGCATGCCTGGATCTTACTCTATATGAGGAAATATTTTGACAAAAATGACAAAAATTTTATATGGAGGGATTTTAAAATCCCAAAAAAAAAATCTTTCTTACAAGAGATTTCAATTAAAATCCCAAGAAAATCCCTTTGCAAAAATGATTTAAATCAAAATTCATTTTTTAAATCATTGCAAAAAGATTTTGATTTTGATTTAAATCCCAGGGGTTGACACGATTTCATCTTTTCATCTTTTTTCATCTTTCCATACAAAAAATTCATCAATTTTCATCTTTCTTCATCTTTTTTCATCAATTCGTACAAAAAATTCATCTTCCTTCATCATTTTCATCTTTAAGAATTTCACGTTTTATTTGGTTTGTGAAGTATATAATTTCATAATTTCATACAAATTACCTTAAAAAATCATTTTTTACAAAAATATTTATGAAAAATCGTTTTTTCACATTCCATGTAAGGAAATCAAGGCGAAAAATGACTTTTCCGTAGGTTTTTTTTATCTCATTTAAGAAAACCTAGTCGAAAAATGACTTTTCCGTGGGGTTTTTCATCTCATCTAAGAAAATCTAGTCGAAGAATGACTTTTCCGTGGGGTTTTTCATCTCATCTAAGAAAACCTAGTCGAAAAATGACTTTTCCGTGGGGTTTTTTATCTCATCTAAGAAAATCTAGTCGAAAAATGACTTTTCCGTGGGGTTTTTCATCTCATCTAAGAAAATCTAGTCGAAGAATGACTTTTCCGTGGGGTTTTTCATCTCATCTAAGAAAACCTAGTCGAAAAATGACTTTTCCGTGGGTTTTTTTTATCTCATCTAAGAAAATCTAGTCGAAAAATGACTTTTCCGTGGGGTTTTTCATCTCATCTAAGAAAATCTAGTCGAAAAATGACTTTTCCGTGGGTTTTTTTTATCTCATCTAAGAAAATCTAGTCGAAAAATGACTTTTCCGTGGGGTTTTTCATCTCATCTAAGAAAATCTAGTCGAAGAATGACTTTTCCGTGGGGTTTTTCATCTCATCTAAGAAAATCTAGTCGAAAAATGACTTTTCCGTGGGGTTTTTCATCTCATCTAAGAAAATCTAGTCGAAGAATGACTTTTCCGTGGGGTTTTTTCATCTAATCGAAGAAAATCTAGTCGAAAAATGACTTTTCCGTGGGTTTTTTCATCTCATCTAAGAAAATCTAGTCGAAAAATGACTTTTCCGTGGGGTTTTTCATCTCATCTAAGAAAATCTAGTCGAAGAATGACTTTTCCGTGGGGTTTTTCATCTCATCTAAGAAAACCTAGTCGAAAAATGACTTTTCCGTGGGTTTTTTTATCTCATCTAAGAAAATCTAGTCGAAAAATGACTTTTCCGTGGGGTTTTTCATCTCATCTAAGAAAATCTAGTCGAAAAATGACTTTTCCGTGGGTTTTTTATCTCATCTAAGAAAATCTAGTCGAAAAATGACTTTTCCGTGGGGTTTTTCATCTCATCTAAGAAAATCTAGTCGAAGAATGACTTTTCCGTGGGGTTTTTCATCTCATCTAAGAAAATCTAGTCGAAAAATGACTTTTCCGTGGGGTTTTTCATCTCATCTAAGAAAATCTAGTCGAAGAATGACTTTTCCGTGGGGTTTTTTCATCTCATCTAAGAAAATCTAGTCGAAAAATGACTTTTCCGTGGGGTTTTTCATCTCATCTAAGAAAATCTAGTCGAAAAATGACTTTTCCGTGGGTTTTTTTTATCTCATCTAAGAAAATCTAGTCGAAAAATGACTTTTCCGTGGGGTTTTTCATCTCATCTAAGAAAATCTAGTCGAAGAATGACTTTTCCGTGGGGTTTTTCATCTCATCTAAGAAAATCTAGTCGAAAAATGACTTTTCCGTGGGGTTTTTCATCTCATCTAAGAAAATCTAGTCGAAGAATGACTTTTCCGTGGGGTTTTTTCATCTCATCTAAGAAAATCTAGTCGAAAAATGACTTTTCCGTGGGTTTTTTCATCTCATCTAAGAAAATCTAGTCGAAAAATGACTTTTCCGTGGGGTTTTTCATCTCATCTAAGAAAATCTAGTCGAAGAATGACTTTTCCGTGGGGTTTTTCATCTCATCTAAGAAAATCTAGTCGAAAAATGACTTTTCCGTGGGGTTTTTCATCTCATCTAAGAAAATCTAGTCGAAGAATGACTTTTCCGTGGGGTTTTTTCATCTCATCTAAGAAAATCTAGTCGAAAAATGACTTTTCCGTGGGGTTTTTCATCTCATCTAAGAAAATCTAGTCGAAGAATGACTTTTCCGTGGGGTTTTTCATCTCATCTAAGAAAATCTAGTCGAAAAATGACTTTTCCGTGGGGTTTTTCATCTCATCTAAGAAAATCTAGTCGAAGAATGACTTTTCCGTGGGGTTTTTCATCTCATCTAAGAAAATCTAGTCGAAAAATGACTTTTCCGTGGGTTTTTTTTATCTCATCTAAGAAAATCTAGTCGAAAAATGACTTTTCCGTGGGGTTTTTCATCTCATCTAAGAAAATCTAGTCGAAGAATGACTTTTCCGTGGGGTTTTTCATCTCATCTAAGAAAATCTAGTCGAAAAATGACTTTTCCGTGGGGTTTTTCATCTCATCTAAGAAAATCTAGTCGAAGAATGACTTTTCCGTGGGGTTTTTTCATCTCATCTAAGAAAATCTAGTCGAAAAATGACTTTTCCGTGGGGTTTTTCATCTCATCTAAGAAAATCTAGTCGAAAAATGACTTTTCCGTGGGGTTTTTCATCTCATCTAAGAAAATCTAGTCGAAAAATGACTTTTCCGTGGGTTTTTTATCTCATCTAAGAAAATCTAGTCGAAAAATGATTTTTCCGTGGGGTTTTTCATCTCATCTAAGAAAATCTAGTCGAAGAATGACTTTTCCGTGGGGTTTTTCATCTCATCTAAGAAAATCTAGTCGAAAAATGACTTTTCCGTGGGGTTTTTCATCTCATCTAAGAAAATCTAGTCGAAGAATGACTTTTCCGTGGGGTTTTTTCATCTCATCTAAGAAAATCTAGTCGAAAAATGACTTTTCCGTGGGTTTTTTCATCTCATCTAAGAAAATCTAGTCGAAAAATGACTTTTCCGTGGGGTTTTTCATCTCATCTAAGAAAATCTAGTCGAAAAATGACTTTTCCGTGGGTTTTTTCATCTCATCTAAGAAAATCTAGTCGAAAAATGACTTTTCCGTGGGGTTTTTCATCTCATCTAAGAAAATCTAGTCGAAGAATGACTTTTCCGTGGGGTTTTTTTCATCTCATCTAAGAAAATCTAGTCGAAAAATGACTTTTCCGTGGGGTTTTTCATCTCATCTAAGAAAACCTAGTCGAAAAATGACTTTTCCGTGGGTTTTTTCCTCTCATCTAAGAAAACCTAGTCGAAGAATGACTTTTCCGTGGGGTTTTTCATCTCATCTAAGAAAACCTAGTCGAAGAATGACTTTTCCGTGGGTTTTTTCATCTCATCTAAGAAAATCTAGTCGAAAAATGACTTTTCCGTGGGGTTTTTCATCTCATCTAAGAAAATCTAGTCGAAGAATGACTTTTCCGTGGGGTTTTTCATCTCATCTAAGAAACCCTAGTCGAAAAATGACTTTTCCGTGGGGTTTTTCATCTCATCTAAGAAAATCTAGTCGAAGAATGACTTTTCCGTGGGGTTTTTCATCTCATCTAAGAAAACCTAGTCGAAGAATGACTTTTCCGTGGGTTTTTTCATCTCATCTAAGAAAATCTAGTCGAAAAATGACTTTTCCGTGGGGTTTTTCATCTCATCTAAGAAAACCTAGTCGAAAAATGACTTTTCCGTGGGTTTTTTCCTCTCATCTAAGAAAACCTAGTCGAAAAATGACTTTTCCGTGGGGTTTTTCATCTCATCTAAGAAAATCTAGTCGAAGAATGACTTTTCCGTGGGGTTTTTCATCTCATCTAAGAAAACCTAGTCGAAAAATGACTTTTCCGTGGGGTTTTTCATCTCATCTAAGAAAATCTAGTCGAAAAATGACTTTTCCGTGGGTTTTTTCCTCTCATCTAAGAAAACCTAGTCGAAAAATGACTTTTCCGTGGGGTTTTTCATCTCATCTAAGAAAATCTAGTCGAAGAATGACTTTTCCGTGGGGTTTTTCATCTCATCTAAGAAAACCTAGTCGAAAAATGACTTTTCCGTGGGGTTTTTCATCTCATCTAAGAAAATCTAGTCGAAGAATGACTTTTCCGTGGGGTTTTTCATCTCATCTAAGAAAACCTAGTCGAAAAATGACTTTTCCGTGGGTTTTTTCATCTCATCTAAGAAAATCTAGTCGAAAAATGACTTTTCCGTGGGTTTTTTCATCTCATCTAAGAAAATCTAGTCGAAGAATGACTTTTCCGTGGGGTTTTTCATCTCATCTAAGAAAATCTAGTCGAAGAATGACTTTTCCGTGGGGTTTTTCATCTCATCTAAGAAAATCTAGTCGAAAAATGACTTTTCCAAGGGTTTTTTTCATCTCATCGAAGAAAATCTAGTCGAAAAATGACTTTTCTAAGGGTTTTTCATCTCATCTATGAAAATCGAGGCGAAAAATGACTTTTCCGAGGGGTTTTTCATCTCATGTAAGGAAATCGAGACGAAAAATATGCTAATCTTTGGGGTTTTTCACTTTAAATTAAAAAATTAATGCAAAAATTTATTTTTCCGAAAGATTTTTCACCTCAAATAAGAAAAATTTGCTTTTTCGAGGTATTTTTCATACAAACCGAGCTCACCCGAAAATTTCATCATTTTCATCTTTTCATACAAAAAAATTCATCATTTTTAATCTTTCTTCATCTTTTTTTCATCTTTCCATACAAAAAATTCATCTTTTTTCGTCGTTCTTCTTCATTTTTCATCAATTCATACAAAAATTTCATCTTAACAATAGAATGAAGAAATTTTTCATCAAGATGAAATCGTGTCAACCCCTGGTTTAAATCACCCACCCTGGCAATAAATTACCTGAACATCTTATAGGTCTATATGATGTGTGCATCCATACATGCCTCCTTAAATCAGTTTGATGAATAAATGTTGCAGTACATAAATGACAGCAATGTGGACGTTCACCTATATATATATATATAGTCGCGAAAAATATTTAAATAGACAAAAACCTGATTTGATAACAAGAAACATTTCACCTGAGTGTTTTGTATTTTCCCGAAAAGCAAAATAACGAATAACCGTTATTACGAATTACAAATTTACGAATGTACATTTTTACGAAAAATTTTATAATAAAAACTTATAGGATAAAATTTGAATCTCAAAAAACCGTTGGATAAAACCAAATATTAAGAAAATCAAAACTAATTTCATCATTTAAATGCGATTAGACATGATTTAATAATTAATAATAAATAAATGATTAAAAGAACTACAAAAATATTTGCATTTATTTAAATGTGTAATATTTTTTTTTTATTTTATGGGTAAATCCATGAAAAAAATTTATAGCAAAATAAAATTTTTATAGAAAAAATATTTCACATTCAAATAAATGAAAATCTTTTTTGCAGTTCTATTAATCCTTTATTTTTTAATTAATTATTAAATCATGTCTAATCGCATTTAAATGATGAAATTATTGTTAATTGACTTCTAATGTTTGATTTTATCCAACGGTTTTTTGAGATTCAAATTTTATCCTACAAGTTTTTACTATAAAAGTTTCCGTAAAAATGTACATTCGTAAAAATGATTTTTCGTTATCACAATGATTCAGAATCGAAAAAAATGTTCAAAAATTCAAAAATTTTATGTTAATTAAACTTCATCTTTTAAATTCCAGATTAAAGATCTTAACTTAAAGCAAATCCTATGAAAATATCTCGTTTCAATTTGATGTCTAACTCCATTTTCTCTACTTTAAGTTGTTTTTTCCTTATCCTGCTAGCTGTTGCTAGCAAAGTTAAGCTTAGATTTGCATTTTAAATTAACAACCAAATCAACAGAAAACTGCTTATTAAGTCTTAAAAATGCAATTGAAATCTGAGTATTTTTACAAAACTTAAACTTTTCATAAGTTAAAAAGTCTTCCAAAGACCTCACTGAAACCTATATAAATCGATCGATTAAGCTTTAATCTACCTCCCATATTGCTGTTGACATGCCGTTTAATGCCGTTTTCGAGATATTTACGTTCAAAGTTTACATAAATTTTCATACAAAATTTGATCATGCACACCAGACTTACGCCACCTTATATTCGAAAAAATTCGAAATGTCTTCGAAATTAATGTCGAAAACTTCGAAATTTGAGACGAAAATTTGAATTTTTATTGACCGTTAAGAAAAATGTAAACAAATCAAAAAATTTAAAATCAAAATCAATGATTTAAGCTTCTTTTAACAATGATTTAACTAAATTAACATAATCTTAATTATGTTTTATCACTATTAAATAGTTCACATTAGAAAAAAGAGCTTCAATTAACAATTAATTAAGAAATTTATGATTCGTGAAAAAATTCACTAACACATGTACAACTTTTGTTTACTTTTGATATTTTTGTTCGGAAAATTTTTAAAATCACCAATTCTTGCATTTACTTAAGCATTTTCAGTTCAAAAACATTAAAAATATGTCAAAGATTATTTATTTTAAAGAACTAAACAGTTAAAAGCTTCGAATTGTGTTGAATAAAGTTTTTTTCCAACGGTTAAAAAAGATTCAAAATATTTAAAAAAAATCGGTAAAACTTCTGTAACTGACAATTTTTAACGTGACGTTAGTCTGATGCACACAATATTTTTTGATAAACTTTTACAAACTTTTGGTAAAAAAATCAAGTCTATCCTTTATATTAAGCACTGATTTTTTGAGCAATGAACGAAAATATTATGTAGAAGATGCTAAAAGAATCAAATCAAGAGAAATTAACAAAAACTTTCAATTTTCTAATGTTTCGGAAAAATATTGTGCACAAGGAATTTTTGAACATTTTTTCCGAATCAGAATCATTGTGGTTATTTTGCTTTTCGGGAAAATACAAAACACTCAGTCTACCTGTATGAATTCGCGTGTGAATTTGAAGCTTTTGTTTATCCAAAAAGCCTTTACCACAAATTTCGCAACGGAAGTCTCGTTGATTAGTGTGCTTTGATTTAATATGGCATTTTAGTTCCTATGTAAATTATTGATTAACAGCTAAGCTTTTAAGGTATTTAACACAATTAACTTAATTCTTACCCATTTCCCTTTATAAACGACTGAACAATTCTCATACGGGCAATTAAATGTAGTTTTGAGAACGTGCCTTTGCTGAATATGCCAAGTGCATCCACCTCTAGTTTTAAACTTCCTTGGACACAAGTCACAATACCAATAATCATTTGGTGTCATTTTCTGATGTGATCTCATATGTGGTTTTAATAGCCCTCGATTCCTTAAGATTTTTCCACATACTTCGCATGGAATTGGAGAATCCGTTATTCGCTTTTCAACGTGCGTCTTTAAATGCCTCACTCTTATGTGACGTATAAGATAATATTTAATTACAAAGTGATCTCCACAATAATCGCACACATATCGATCTTTGATATCAACATACTCATGCTTTACTCTGTGAATTATATAGAATAGAAAGTAATAAGATAATGACCTTGGGAAAGTTAGCGATAACCAGCAAATTTCCTGATAATTAAATACGTGAAAACTCCAGGGACTTGTAAAAAATTCGATTCACTGAAAATTTGCCAGTTTCACAAGAGCCTTTCCACGCGAAAATGAGACTCGGTATTTTTTTGGTTTTGGCTCAATAAAACCATAAATAATGGTCCAAACTATAATATGTTACAGGGGGAAATTTACTCAGCCTAAAAATTTTTTTGAGTAAAAAATTATTAAAACAAAAGCGTAAAAAAAGAGTAAAAAGTGTAAAAAAAGAGTAAAAAGTGTAAAAAAAGTGTAAAGAGCGTATAAAAGTGTAAAAAAAGAGTAAAAAGCGTAAAAAAAGAGTAAAAAGTGCACTTTTTACTCTTTTTTTACGCTTTTTTTACACTTTTTACTCTTTTTTACACATTTTACTCTTTTTTTTACACATTTTACTCTTTTTACTACGTTTTTTTATTATTACATGCTTTTATTTAACTCACACTGTTTATCTGAGTCAAATCTTGTAATCGATTTTACGACCACTTTCACTGCTCCAATAGAGCTCAAATTTTGAATGCACACGTATTCTCGATGACAATGCAATATTTTAACACTTTGGAAACACAAAAATGCTTAATTATAGTACAATTTAAGTAAAACTATTTTATATGGGAAAAAAATCCAATGTCAATGATATAAAATTTTGATTTGTTTAAAATATTACACTTAAAATACTCAACAGTCATTTATAAGATTCATTATAGTTTAAATAATATTACTAATTATTAATTATACTATAATTTTGAGCAGCTAAAGATTTTCAGGGAGGATGAAATAATTGACAAGTGATTTTTTCATGAATATTCGTAAGTGAAAATTTGAATTTTCAAAAAAACCGTTAAGCATAAGTCCGTTGTGGACTAATGCAAAATAACTATTAATATGAGATGTGCATTTAGCACACATAGTTTGAGCATTAATTTATGCTGTTTTAAATGTATTACATTATTTATAACACTTCACCAATTTAATTAAATTGACTTCTCTTTTAACGGCATGACGTATTTTTGCATAACATATAAATGACATTCATTGAATTTAAATTTGAAAATCGGTTATATGCAAACTACATATAGATGTGATTTGCATCTTTATGTAAAGAATCAACACGTTATGTAGTAGGAATGGTCCGGATAAACACAAAATCTTTAATTGAAGTTAGGACATTTTTAAAAGAGTTTTATGTGTTTTCAGGTATGACTTAAATAATTTAAAACGAATGAAGAATTTTGACAATCTTTACTAATTGTCCATTAAAAAATGGTGATCTATGAACAGTTGAACGGATTGAAGTGAAACGAAGTGGATTCTAAAACTTCCTGTAATCTAAAAACTGTAACCTACTCATTAAGTCTGATAAATTCAATGTTGTAATAAAACAAAAACTCCAAATTTTGGAAGTAATATCGATTCTAAATGTATGAACACACGACTAAAAAGTAGAAAATAAAATACTATAAAAAAAAAACTTTTTTTTAAAAAACCACGCTTTTATTTCCGATTACAGTGCACTAAAAAGGAGAAAATAATTTTTTTTCTAAGCACTCAAATATGATACAAAATTTTATGACTAAACATAAAAGCGTGGGTCGTTCTTGCATATGTCACTAAATCTTGAATTTGTCAACGATCTCAAAATGTTAAAAGGTCTTTCGTTTGCAGAAGTTGCATCAAAAAATGAATAATTAAAATATAGTGTGAATAAATTTTAGAAAATCTAGAGCAGGTTTGAATTGAACGCCCCATGCTTTTATTTTTAGTCATAAAATTTTGTATCATATTTGAGTGCTTAGAAAAAAAAATTATTTTCTCCTTTTTAGTGCACTGTAATCGGAAATAAAAGCGTGGTTTTTTAAAAAAAAGTTTTTTTACGCTTTTGTTTTAATAATTTTTTACTCAAAAAAAATTTTAGGCTGATTAAATTTCCCCCTGATATGTTATATATTTTTGGAAGCTCTTGAGTTATATCTCAGTATCTCATTGTCATTAATTATTAATGAATCAGAAACGGAATCAGAGTGTAAAAAGACGATTTTGATACAGATCCCAAGAAAAACCATGAAAAATCATTTATGCATTAATTTTTTTTTTAAGTTTTTATGTTTGTCTATTAGTTTTAATAAAAACTATGTTATTCTGGGTTCATAATATTTTATATCAATTTTAATTAATAGTTTAAATAGAAAAAAAAGAAAAAATCAAGGGTTGATAACTTTTTTTTTACAAAAGTTTCCACCCCTTGAAAGTAGCTTTGAGCTTAAATTTAAAATATGAAAAAAATAAGATAAACAGCGTTTAAATCATCAATTAATTCGAATGTTTGGACCAGATATAAGCATTTTTATAAAAAAAAAAGAACAGAAAAATTACCAAGGTTTGATAACTCATAAAAATAAAACCAAGCAGAATAATTTGAAAAACTTTCCTTTTTGCATTAATACCTTATTTACTTAATCTAATTCAATTAAAATAATCCTGTTAGCTTTAAAGAGTAAAGCACAGCGTGTCGCGCGAAAATGTATGTTGATCGACAGTTTCAAACCTGAAAGTTTCCAACCCTTGATAATATAATTAATTTTTTTTCACCCACATTGAAAGCTTAACTCGAGAGCTTTCCAAAAATATATAACATATTATTGTTTGGACCATTATTTATGGTTTTATTGAGCCAAAACCAAAAAAAATACCGAGTCTCATTTTCTCGTGGAAAGGCTCACTTGTCTAGCAAATTTGTATAAAATTTGCAATAGGGAACATTTTTGATTGTATAGTATTTATGGAAAAAAATGCTGTCAGTTGTCAAGAAATTTGCAACAATAAAACTGTCAATTAAAATATTTTACAGGAAATATGCAGGAAATTCACCGGCAGTAAAATTCTGGAAATTTGTGGTAACTTAGAAAAATAATTTCAAATATTTTTAAAAATATGCAGAAATAACATTATAGACAAATAAATCAATAAATTTGCTGTAAATTTGCAGCAAAAAATAAAATGTAAGAATCTACTTAAAATTTGCAGGATTAATATTCTAATTGCATTCTCTTAAATCACACAAATTTAGAAGCTAATTTTGACGACCAGTCATATAGAAATGTTTATAGTTGATTCCTTTCGATCTGAGGTTTTACACAGTTAAAACTTACGCCTCTTTTGATTTGCATTGGAGGCTGCTGAATCATTTTCTTTTTCCGTTACTTATTCCTGGACTTGATTTTGTGAAATCTTTTTTTTGGCGTTAGCTTTTCATAAGTACAGAGGAGATTTAATCTCTTTCATCGTTGTTTCTGATTCATTTGAAATTTCACTAATATCAATTGATGGATTTCAGCACCAGTGTCACTAAAATTTTCGTCAGAATCAACTGGAATGTATTCAAAATTGTCTGGATTATCGTTAGATTTGACTGAATTGTAGTCAGATATATCGACATTGTCACTGGAACTTTTCGATTCGCTTGATTCTTCTTTTTTTTTTTATTTCTTTGTCTATAATGTTATTCCTGCATATTTTTAGTATATATTTTCAAAAAGTATTTGAAATTATTTTTTTAAGTTACTACAAATTTCTAGCATTTTATTGTCGGTAAATTTCTTTTTTATCGTTTACTTTTCGAAGGTAAGATAATGCGTAAGCTATTGACATAAATATGCAATTTTAATTAATTAATTACTTCATATGTTTCTGTAAGCTTCCTCGAGTCGTAAAGAACTGCTGACAAATCTCACAATAGAGATTATTTTCGTCATTCTTAATTATATTAACTCTGGATTTTGCTAAAAGTTGCCCATGAATGCGCGTAATATGACGCTTAAGATAGGTTTCGTGTTTGAACGATTTACTACAATATTTGCAGTCATAATTGATATTTTCTTCAATGGTACATATAGAATTGTTTAAAGAGCTACGTTCGGCTATTATATCATCTTCTTCGGCATTTCTTTTCGGTCGTTTTCTTTTCACAATCAATTTCTTCAACTTTAAATTTTCTGTTTCTTGGTATGATTTAATGTTGACATTCTCAAATGTCGAATAATGATTCCCTAATATTGTATCTATATTGTCAATTAACTCAAAACTCGGTTCGCACTTAATCTCATCATCAGATTCAAGCTTGAACTCAAGATTCTTTAAGTTATTTAAAATTTTTGCTTCGTCTAGTTTTAAATGTTTCTTTAAATACTCTTCAGTTTTTCTTGCTTTACATCTAAAGTTGCTTGCAATAAAGAGTTCGTCTAAACATGTCCTACAGATTAAAGCTTGAAATCCTTCTATGCAATATTCCATAATTTTAATTTGCGTTAATAAATATATTTTTAATGAAACATCCTTTTCTTCATATATGCTTGTTAATTTTTCACTTTCTTCAACACATAGGCATATTCTGCATCTTCTTTCACAAGTTTCCATCGTCACTTAATTTATTAATCACTGTTTTATCTCAAAAAACTTAATTCTTTAAAATTATCTGCAGTTGTTTACCTTTTTACGGGGCATTAACAACGTTTTCACAACCCTGAAGTCAAAATTCAAATTTCAATTTCAATAATACGTTAATTTATAACGGAAAATTTCAAGCAAGCCAAGTAAATCGAATGCATTTGAGTGCTGAGTCAAGAAATGTCCTTAAAATGATGACAGCAGGTGAATAAAAATTGACAGTTGAATAAATAACGATGCATGGCAAAATCTTGGAGATATAAAAGTGCAGAAATGCGATACACATATCGCTATCATTAGATTAATTCAGTACATAGCTCATCACTTACATTATATTTAATATCAAATGTCTAGTGGTGGGAACTCTTTACTCTCACACTATACTTGTATACAAAAAGGGAGCTTAATAATACGCAATGTTCGTTCGTTCGTTCGTCTGAAGAAAAAGTTTTTAACCAGACATCGTAGAGAGCTCAGGTTTGTTTTATTAGCTCCATTACTATTGTTTATTGTCCGATCGAACAGTTAAAAGTCTTGAAACAGTGTATTTATGCTATAATTAATTATTTTACCTCTATAATTTCAACATTACCTCTACAATTTCAATTTTTTTCTAGCCGTTTTAAAATTTGAATTTCAAAAAACCGTTGAATTATAAACTTTTTCTATATGGAAATTCAATTAATTATTAATTAAACTACTGGGGGTCCTCGATTTGAGTAGATTCTATTTGAGTAGATTCGATTTGAACAGAAAATTTATTACCCACCAAAATATTCGATTTGAGTAGATTTCTTCCTGTTTTCTTCGATTTGAATTGTTTACAAAACAAATATTTTTGATAAAAACATTTCAGAAAATAATTTTAAAACATAAATTTTACTGCGATAAGCGTGAACTTATCATATTGATAGAAAAATCAATACTAAAGTTACAAAATTAAAGTAAAAATTTAAAAAATTGATATAAAATCAACGATTTTAAAAAGTTCAAATTCAAAAACCTTACAAATTGTTCAGTGAAATAACATTTGCAAGGTTCTCATATTTTTGTTTTGTTTCAAAAACATTTTTTTTGTGAATTTCCGTTTAAAAACAATATGAATATGCGTTGAAATAAATTAAGGTATCAAAAACACAAAGGAAAAGTTAAGAAACGAGGTAAAATGTGCAAAAAATGATCAAGATTTTCATTGTTTTGATTCATTTTTTGGACTCTGGAACAAAACATGTAATTTTGTATGGATTCTTTGCCTCGATTTGAATAGATTCGATTTGAATAGAAATTTTTTGGAACAAAACAACTACTCAAATCGAGGACCCCCAGTATAGCTATTGTTTTTGCAGTGCAACTTTTAACGACAAAATTTCAAATTATTTATTGACCGTTAAATAATAAAGCCTTTCTATATAAGCACTTATTATAATTATTTGTTAATTGCACTAAAATGAATGATCTTCTAAACTTCTAATGATCTGTAAACGAACGCAAAATAATTAGATAATCAAATACTGATCGCTGCGTCAAAAATGCGCTAAAGTCCCTCGATCAATAAAACGAGGACTTCTGTAATTTTTTTTTTAATACTTATTATTTATTAATATTGAATTGACAAAAAAATTATATGAATGATGAAAGGACAATCAATTTTTAAATCAGATATGTTTAGGGTTTGGGGAACCTGTGAACAGAAAACAGAAAAACAGCTGTTTTTCGACAAAAATCTGTTAACAGAAAACAGGTCTCAAAAACAGATCTGTTTTCTGTTTTTCATTTTTACATATAATTTACAGAAAAAAAAATTTCTTAATTTTTTGAAGAACTTAATATATTTTTCTAGCATTCCAAATTGAAATGTATTTACTATTTTAATATTTTTTGGATGTTTAATAGGTTTGAAATCATTATCAAATTTATGGTCAATCATTATTAATTTTGCAATCGAAAGTTTAAATTTGTTGAACCTTTTGTAGCATTTACTAAAGTTCAAAAATATAATCAACAATTTTACAAGATATTTTTTTATTCAGAAAGATATTTTTCAAATATATCAAATAAAATATTAGACTCTATGGAACTTTTGCAATGCAACAATACGATATTTCTTAAAAGTATAATTTTTTTTTGAATTTTTATATTTCATTATATTTTTTTGAGTAAATTAACAAAAAAATTAAGAAATAATAATGCTTAGCTCTAAAATGTATGCTTAACTGCTTATAACCACCAAAAAGTTTCATTATCTTAAGAAACACTTAGGATAACTCAGTTTATTTTGAATTCTAGAAAAACAGAAAAACAGCTGTTTTTAAAAATCAAAAACCGAAAACAGACTGTTTTTCAAAAACAGCTGTTTTCCACAAACCCTAGATATGTTGAATGTTGAAAATAAAATTTTTTATTGCAATTCACGAAAAAAAAAAATAACATTTTTTTGATATTTTTGCTTTTTTGAGAATAAAAGAAATAATAATTAATGTTATTTATTTTCTTAATATTAATTTTAAAAAATTAAAAATTGTAGCTTAACATATAGATTGTTAATTCAAAGTAAAATTAATTTTAACGATGAAATGGTCAAGTGGTGTTAGTTTTGAAAATAAAAATGTTTAAAAATGTTAAAATGATTGCAATTATCAAAATTGCTTGGCACCACAGAATTTCTGAAAAGTGAAAAAATTTTATATGAAACATTAAAGATTTTTCGATGACATGTTTAAGTTTTTTTATATCATGGTAGACTTTTTGATGTTTCATACTTGAAAAAAGCTATGAATGTTGTTTTTTAAACGTGCAAAAATGACAAAAATTGCAAAGCTTGAAATATAAGTTGCTAGTCTCCCAAATCTCAAATGTGCTTTCTGCAAATTAAATTTTTGCTCTTTTTAAACCACTCTTTATTGTTTTTTACTACTTTCGTTTCACTCATTTTTAATAATGTTCATGCATGTTCTTAACTGCATTTTAGTTTTTCCCTGCACGATATTTGGAATCCCAACCCCTGGTCAAATGTATTTGTGAAACTTTATTAAACGATACAGAATGATGATCATGATGACAATTTGCTTACTTGGGATTATGTGAAGGAGATACTTTATCAGTCGCATCGAATACATCGTTCAGTGTAGTCGGTCGGTTGAATTCTAAATTTTGTCTCATTGTTGCCTATTTAGTGTGATAGTTAAGATATTAAATTCATAAATACTGAATACATCTAGGAATATAAATCATGTATATTCATCAAGACATTAATGATGTCCAGCATCAATATTTTCGAAAGCCACAACATTTGTCAAAAAAAGACGCAATAAAGCTATTCTTATGGAATCCTAAAAGTCGAGAAATCTTTGGAAGGACAGGAGTATCATGGGGTATGTAAAACTTAGCTTACTTAGCAACGATGAGATCAAGACGATAGGTCAGGAAAAGGCATTTCCTTCCAAAAATCATTACGTAAATTAATAGCTGTCATAATTCGAGGTCATAACTAGCACTAGATACCTACCACTAGCAGAGATAATAAAATAGCAAGTAGAATTAAGTAATCTTAAATTAAGTGAATGATTTTCTCCACTTTTAAATTACTTCTTCCTATTTAAATGATTTAAATCATCATAAAAACGCTTTTAGTATTTTTTTCTCCATTCATTCATTCTCTGATTGTCACTTTAAATCTTTTTTCGTGGTCAACTTTCCTACTGCCTACCTATTTTGCATAATTTTATTGCATTTTTCATAATTTACTATACATTTACTATACATGCTGATTTTAGGATGTTGAGCATTTATCTCTGGCATAAGTGATCATGAATAAGAAGTAGATCAGTTCTATGCCCTAAAAACGATTATGATTACGAAATTTTGTTTCTTCTTATTATTCATGATGATATTGAGGATGTTGTATAATGATTAATATTAATTAAAGTTTATTTTCAATGTGACATCTAGACTAAACTACTTAATTTTATTACAATTTGAAACTTTATTGCTTATTAATGCTAAATCCTTCGTGTTTTAAAGATATTTGAGATAATCTTTCTAATACTTCCTTGTATGGTGGTGAGGTCGGTTTTTGTACAATTTCTTTATGCTCATAATTCTCATCAATTGGATATGACATATCACTATCGTAGCTTCGTAAATCCCCACATACAACAAAAGGATTATTATTCCGATTTACTTCACTGTCAGTTATTTCTCTTATTACTTTTAAATCGGCAATCATTGGATTTATTTTTTGTGGGACATAGTTATCAGGAGGTTGATAATTTTGGCATATTAAAAACGCTTCAATGCTGGAATTTCGCGAACTTTTTGGTTTCGCAATCGATACTTTTTCAAAGAAGATTGATAATTGAGAAAATAGAAGTGAAATATCCTTTCCACGGAATATCTTGGCAACAAAAGTGCCACTATTCATTAAAACATGAGTTGCTATATTAAGAGCAGCAAGAATAAGCTGTGATTGAATGTATTCATCAATGTCATGTAGTCCTGTTACATCAGGTGCACCTATACATTTTAAAATTGCAATTTAATAATTTTAAAAAATTAAGCAGAACTAGAATGTTAGACATACCGTCCGAGCAAACCAAGTGAGCCTTCTTATCTCCAAAAAGACTGATTATTGCTTGGGCTGTTTCCAGTTTTGTAATGTCACCTTGTAATTGAATTACGCCATTCAAAGGAGACATTGGCTGAAGGTCTGGAAAATGTACATAAATTCATTGATACAAAGTTGCTTCAATGCTTAATTAAGTACTTACCGACAGCGATAATTTTAACTTCATCCTTGTTTTCACTTGGTTCCCATAACTTTTTTGACAGCACTTGAGACCAACTTCCAGGTGCTGCACATAAATCTACTACTCGCGTTACCTTTTAAATAATAAAATGGAATCAATTATTCAATTATTCTGATTCTTAGAATTTTTAACAACTTACACCGCTCAAAATATTAAAAACTTCGTCTATTTGGATTAGTTTAAATGCTGAACGTGCTCGCCAGCCTTGTTCCTTCGCATACCTATAGAATATGTCTCTTTTGTCTTTTGATGTCTTTCCCATTCTTGACTATTTTTACTAAAATTGATAATTACGCCTGTTCACTAGTAAATAACAAATCAAAATGATTATTTTGTTTGAAATGTGAAAAAGTTTGAATTTAAAAAATAGCCGTTGTTCATTTTCCAATAAAATTTTTCTGTGAATGAGTGACACAAAAGCATTGATTCTTGACTTAGCGATCAGTTTAAGATTATAAATTTGGTGCCAAACAATAATGATTATATTCAAACCATTGCATACAGCAATAAAAAACTTTGAATCCCCCCACCTCCTCTCATCATTAGAATTTTGTTAATATGCTCAAAAGCCTGTAAATTCATCCACAAAATTACATAAACTAGTTTAAGCTTCATCGTAAAAAGCTTGCTTCCTTGCTGGATAGAATTCATAAAACGTAAAATCGTTAAAAATAACAATTTGCTTCTTCTTGTACATTCACACATGCCGCGTACTTTTAAAACGAAGAGTAAATAAGTGAAAGGAAGAAAACCTGTTTCGCACACAGAAAAGGACAAAGAGTACAAACAAAAAGGATGTGGTTCAACGTACCTTTCTATAAATATAACGCAATAAAAAAATTGACTGTGGTGCGTTATAAGCAGGCAGTAACAAGAAACAAAAATAATGATCGGGCAACACGAAGCAGTTAAGTCAGTCGTTGTGTTGTGTATTGTTTTTCAAGTATTGGTACGATCAAAACGTTGAGTATTGTGTAGTCTTCTTCAGACTAGTCAGTTGCTCTCTTGCGCTTCGTAAGATATTACATTTTTTTTATTAGGTATTTATTTGTGCTAAATTATTAGTGGATAGAAGAACTTTCGCTTCTAGTTCTCGTTTAAGAAAGAAACCAGTTTGTTTGAGGAACAGTTAAATCACGATTATCGATAAAGTCTGGCATGATGAATTGCTTATAGCCAATAAGAAATAATTTAATTCTGTTGTTACTTAATTTATCTAATCACCCGTCCGTCCATTGTGGTGTGTTCTAAGAGAGTCTCCACGTTTCATAATTATTTAACGCTTGATAAGTTTTAAGCTACTACTCATAATCTCTCGTAACTGTTAAGTGTACAGAATTTCTCGTTTGATAAGCAATTAAGTGAATTAAAATAAGCAATAAGCCTCAAAAAAAAAAATAAAAATGTCGAAAGGAATGACAAACTCGATGGAAATGAATGAGCCATTTTATGTGCGACGACGACCTGATCCTATACCGTTTAGGAAATTTCTCTATAATAATGAGAAAGGCACAGTTATGGGACGAACTGGTGTATCATGGGGTAAGTGGATGTTATCAGCTATTATCCATAATAAATTCAGTTGCACTGCTGCAAGTAACACAAATACAGCTGAACGTCATTTAGCTTCTTACATACAGGTGTGGTATTTTGTTGTTTACTTCTCCATAATTTCTCGCGCGGCATCATATTATACATAGCATGTCCAATGACTCACACTTATACACTCAACCAAAATGCTCTTTCGAATGGAACTTTAATTAAAGCGACACAAGGGCGGGTCTCTCATTGTTTTCATTCTGATTAAACAGTTCAGTCAATGAGATATATCTCTACTGTATTTGGATACACGATATCTATAATCAAGAACGGTTATCGGCCAACATCCAGCACAAATAATCTTCATTGAGAAAAATTCCATGCCTGTTTATTGAATTTCGGTGACTCACTTTACATTGTTCTCATGTGTGTTCATTTAATTGTGTTTATAGCTTACTTACTCTCTCACGGGGTCATTCATTGGATATACTTTTTGGAATAGAATATTAAATTATTTATTATTAAACTAATCAAATTTAAGGCACACATAAGAAGAATGTCACTCATAAGATCTTTTTTGATTTGATTCAAGTCTCACGAATTTGGCTGAATGCCTCGTTCTCATCTATGTTCATTGAAAATAAATGAGCGAATTTTGCGCCATTTGTAGCATTGAGGGACATAAAATAGAATAGAAAATAACCGCTTTTATATCTCATTTTGCAAGCTACATAATGCCTAATTCAATGAGATTCTATTGATAAAAATTGATGCATTACATTGCAAAATGTTTCAATGCTCAATGAGACGTAAAGTACATAAATATCTTGAGGTCATTAAAAACTTTATTTTCATATATTTTTTTTCGAGCATTTTATGTGTCAATGCATTTAATATCATTAAACTTTTTATTACGATTATTCGCATGAAATCTTTGCAGAAATCGTCGTTAACGATATCTGAAATCCACATGTTGTCCTTCACTTTAAATGTTGTACATCAGATGCTTCATATATGCTATTTTCCGTTACAAATATATTCAAATTTTGTTCAAAGTCGTTCAGTAGTACATAACAATTCATTTTCGTTCAGTTCATCTTAAGTAATTTAATTCAAATTTGCAAAATACGTTAAAAACTTAATATTTTTTGTAGCCATATTTCAACAATTTACTTGCCTTACCTCGAATAATCAGAAGCATAAAGCTTCTCAAATCAATTGCTGTATTTCAATGTTGATTAATTATTGTTTTTAATGTGCATTTTCAGCTAAAATCGGAATATTTTACACAGTCTTTTATGGAGTTTTGGCTGCACTTGTTGCTGTTTGTATGTGGGTATTTTTGCAAACACTCGATCCTCGCATACCTAAATGGCAACTTCATGAGTCCTTGATCGGCACCAACCCAGGTAATTTATAGATATTCAAGGGCTATTTATTGTGTAACTCAATGCTGATTTTTTTTTATTAAGGTTTGGGATTCCGTCCATTGCCTCCAGAGGATAATGTTGAAAGCACATTGATCTGGTATAGAGGAACAAATAAAGAGAATTTTGAAGTGTGGACAAACGCTTTAGATGAATTTTTGCTACGTAAGTACCAACTCGAATTGAGCTCGGCAAGCTCATTAAAATGCTGAAAAAAAAAATATTTTACCTCAAAATTGATGCCAAATTTCTCTACACATACTTTAATTTATTATAGTCGCGTTGTTTATAAAATTTATAATTTTAGATTTAGCCATGCTAATTCCTTTATGAATGCTGAATTTTACATATTTCAAAAAATAAATAATATTAATTAGATGGCAATCAATGTTCGAAAATAGCCAATTTGCATTTCTTTTAAGTAGTCAAGCCTTATCGTCACGAGTCATTCGAAGGAAAGACGGTAACATTTTTAATGTGTATACTTTAAAGTCTGGCAATAAATTGCATTTTAATATGCAACATGATTTATTTTTAGTTCTTTCACTTGTCACATCCTCGTGAGGCATTTCATTATTTGTATCTAATAAGATTCTTTCTATCGACAGCTTATAAGACGCCCGGTTCGATTTCTGGTCGTGGTCAAAACATTTATAATTGCGATTATGGACAAGAGCCACCACGTGGACAAGTTTGTGATGTTGACATCAAGTCTTGGGCACCATGCGTTCAAGAGAATTTTTACAACTATCACCGAAGTGCGCCTTGCATATTCCTTAAGTTGAATAAGATTTTTGGATGGGTCCCACATTTTTATAATGAATCAACAAGCTTACCTGACATTATGCCAAGAGATTTAAAAGATTTCATTAACACAACTGCCATAAGAGAACCACATACTGTAAGTTTGTCTAACATTTGTATAATTAACTCATTAATCTATCTTTACTTTTTTAATGCTGTATAGTTGAACACAATTTGGGTTTCATGTGAAGGTGAAAATCCAGCCGATTTAGAGAATATTGGACCAATCAAGTATTATCCACGTCGGGGATTTCCGGGATTTTATTATCCATATGAAAACTCTGAAGGTTATTTGAGTCCTCTCGTAGCTGTTCATTTTGAACGTCCAGTTCGTAAGTATCATCGATTTTTTATTTTGCACAATAATTTATTGACTGAAAAAGGTACTGTTCTTGTGTCTGGCATTAATATATTATTAGATTTGATAATTTTGGAATGTATGCATATGAGCTGACTTACTAAGCTACCTACACAAACCTTTGTTAAGAATTTTTCTCGCTAGTTTTCAAAAAATTTTAACCGTTATTTTTTAAAAATTAATGGACAGTTTTTAATAGTCTTTTAACCTTACAAATGCGCTCATGTCGCTCTCAAAGACCTACTTTATCCATTTATTACAAGTTATTTATGCAAAAAAGAAAAAGAAGAGAAAAAAGTTTAGAAAATCAGAAACTAATTTACATAATTTTGTCTAATCTTTTAGGTGGAATCATCATCAATGTTGAATGTAAAGCATGGGCGAAGAATATCAAGCACGACAGAGCTGATAGAATAGGATCTGTTCATTTTGAATTAATGATTGATTAAAATCATTAAATACCTTTCCAAAGCAATCTCATAGAAATTTTTGAAGACAATATTTTCGTGCTAATTTCACTAAAGTGACTCATTTTAATTCTAAGATTTTAAAAATTAATCCTTGGATTTAATGAGAGATCGACTATTTTTTTTGTGACAATTTTTATTAAGGGACCGTTCACTCATGACGTTCAAGGGGGGGGGGGGGGGGGGGGGGGTCAGCAAGAAAAGAACAATAGAAATGCCAAATCCATTGTTTCTTTTATGAAAAATGACCGTTAAATTCGGACTTCATAAGTGAACGACACCTAAGCTCGTCCGAGGATTATTTACGTTAGTGAAATTGGCTCTGTTTTCATGACTCAAGAATCTCAAAAAAAAACAATAATAATGTTGCAAAAATTAAAAATTTACTCAAAAAATATCAAATTGAATCTCAAATTGAGAGATGCACATCATCCACTCGTATCTAAAATCGGAAATTTCGAGCATGAGAGGGGATTGTTTAGTTTTATATAGTTCGTATTAGATATGTATTTTAAAGAAAAAAGTCAAAAGAATGAAGAAGACAATTGCGATGACAATTTTATGTAATTTTCATATCTTAATCAGTCCATCAATAAAGTCGAAAATTTAATTAGAAACAGATTCGTGACTTGCTTATTTTGTAGTACTTAAAATATTCTTTATTTTTTCACTCTTAATTCTTAGTATCTACACGTACATCATATCGTTTATAATATAAATTATAATCAATGCCTTAACATTTCTAAAATAACAAAAAAAAAAAAGCTTAATTTTGCGTCATGAGATTGAAAAGAAAATTCATAGCTTGTCCTTAGTTTGATACAGATGTATTTCCTAAAGCTCTCATGAGCTGATAACACTCCTTCAGCTTCTTTTTATCTCCAAAACGTTCATTAAGTCTTACAGCTTCCTCCAACAATCCAGTTCTTTCACCGGGCAATCCAAAACATGCTTGTGGTAAATGCTTCACAGCTAATGTCAATGCCGACGCTTTGAGCTTTGAATCTCCTTCAAAGTGTCGATCTTTTGATCCACAAATTATGCTTTGCTTGTTGTTTCTCTGACGCAAACTTCTATCCAATAAGAATTGTGTTTTAATTGTATTTGCACCAGACATGAATCGCAAAACTGCTTCATACAAGAATATACGCGATTGTGCATTCTGTGGGGGAAGTAAAAAAATATTTATAAGTATATGCAGTATTATTATTTTCATTCGAATAGACTTACAGGTATTTCAGCAGTAAGGCAACGTAGCAAATTGAGGTCATCTTGAAATTTCGACATAATTGCCGAGTCAACAGGAACGAAGCTATAATAATCGTCGCTGTCAAAGTTTCCATACTCAAGCTCCCAAAGTGATAAGCGTGTCTCCATTATCCAGTCGATAGCAAGCAATTCAGCATACTAGAAAATGCATTTACATATTTTATCATCATTTCCTTTTCTCATTGAAAATTAATTTATTAATGATGTCAAGCTGTGATGATTTTACCCTCCAAAATGGTTGCACTGCAGAAGTATTGCACCGTATTTAATAAACAACATGCAATGCAACTACAATGCACCAATTTAAAGTGCTCTGTACCATGTTCCTTAAAAATAAATAACCAATAATGCTGAACTTACCAAGAATTTTCCTCTTAATGGTCCTTTTCTTGGTTTTGTTGTAAGAGCTTCCTTCAGATAATGACTTGCTGCATTACAATCGCGATATATTTGCTTGATATCAACCGGCATTGATTGTTGCCTGAATAAATGATTACAAGAAAAATTAATGATTTTTAATGGCTTTTAAGAATTCAAATAAAATGAACTGAAATGAATTGAACTCAAAAATTTACTTAACAAATAAATTCAATTTTTCAAATTAAATAAGTTTGTTATCCTTACATTAGTCCTTTTCGAGCATTATAGGCACCAAATAATGCTTTTGGTAAGTTGCTTTCAACATCAGAGAAGTCAGAAGGCCATTTTTCAATAGTTGCATAGAATTTTTCAGCAGTTGAATCCTCTCCAAGTAGCCAATTAGCAGCAACACTCAAAATACTCGCCCACCAAACTGCCAATTTATCTTCAGTTCCTACTTGTCCATCTCTCAATGATATTTTATCATCAAATTGAATTGGCTTATCAGCAGCCATGCTATGCAAAACTAGCTTTGTGTAGCTCAGTACATCACTAATTTGTGTGCCTTTAATAAATCTATCATTTTCATTTTCTGTTCCTTCATCAGCAGAGGAACTAGGACTTGCTTCCGATGTTTCAGAAGATTGTTTGACTTCCTTCTTATTGCGTTTTTTGACTGTAGATTCCTTAGATACTTCATTTTTGTTTCGAGTTCCTGAACCGACCAAACAATGAATAGCTTTTTCCAATAAATGTTCACGATATTCTTTCAATGCATATGCCAGTGGATCTGCTTTATTACCCAATTTACTGAATATTGTATTATTCGATGATTGGCTTTCATATCGGAATCGATGATTGATCAAAAACTTGTAACCATACATGGTGAATGCCCATTGATATTTTGTTGGTATATGACTGCATTTCAAGCTTGCTTGCTTTGCTTTACTCAAATAATAGCGACATAAAAATTGTAATATTTTTGGATAGCTTCGTTTAATGCGTAAAGCAGCAACAAGATAAATTTCGAGCAACAATTCTGGTTCCATTAAATTTCCAGCAGATTCGGCCATATTTACAGCATAAAGAGACTGCATTACTCCATTTGAATCTTTCATGTTTGACGATAAATTTAATTGATTAAGACGGTGAAAAACTAATGACAATTCCTTAGCTGAACTTAGTGCTTCACTTCGTTTTGCTTCCAATTTAAAAAGTCCTCCATTGCGACGAGATAGAAAACGACCAATCCATAAATTATGTAAAATCATTCGTATAAATTGCCATGTTGTTGTGGAGAATCTTTCGAGTCGTGTTGTTGGTAACGATAATTCATAATTCTGAAGACATCTAATCAACTCTGCATACGATTCACTTGCATTACCCTTATTTTTAAAATAACGGTTAAAAAATAAATAGCAAAGTCTTAAAGATAGTCATACTTACTCGTTCAAATTCCAAGTCTGACTGTTTCTTGTGTTTCCAGTATTTGATGCTCTCATTAGATTGATGCTTCAGAATTGGATCTCCATAGACGAGCATTTTAATTAGACAACCAAGAATAAATAAGATGTTAAACGCCCAGATAAGAAACATTGATGAAATATTTTGAATTGATGCCGTAATATCGTCCTCAGTTCCTAAAATGTTTCTTCGTCCAGTTGAATCCATGCTGTATGATGACTTTTCATTGTTGCTGCCAACCTTGATTAAATTCGATAAAGGATTTACGATGAATACAGCAAGCATAAACATACACAACGTAAGTCTAGAATGTGATGTCATTCCGCGAACGGGTGTAATAATGTCACTTCCTTCATCAGACTCATCTTTCATTTCATCAAACGGTGATGAAGGCATAGAAGAATCGGAATGTGTTGGAGATAATGACGGATTACTTTCGTCGCTTCTTGGTGGTGTCATTGCATTTGCATTTTGCTGTGTAATTAAAAGATCTTTAAGGCCATGCTTACTTTCAGTCATGATATTCTTTAGGTACATATTTTCTTGCTTCAACTTATTATTTTGATTTTGCAAGTAACGAATGTGATCAATTGCTTTTCTTAAAATCGCTGATTTATGCAATTTTGCTTCAACTCCAACAACCATATTTTTTAATTCCACAATGCATGAATTAATAGATGTTCTGTAGCGTCTTTCAATGGCATTATGAGCAGATCTTTTGACTTCTTTTACTTTTGGTTGTGGACTTGTTCCGATCGAAAATTTCGTCTCATTATCAAGTACTAAAGGAACTGTAGTTAATATAGCACCTGGTGCATTGACAAGCTGAATATTTTGTCCATCATTTGCTGTCGTGGTATACATTACTGTTTGATTTGCTTGTAATATAACAGGTTGTTTATCTCCAGAAGTTTGTATAAGTTGCATGACAGGAAGAGACGTCGGTGCTGGTTGAATTGATGGAACAGTTTTATGTTTCTGTGATTGCACAACATTAGTTGTAATAATGGTTTGATTTGATGGTGCAATGGTTTTTAAACTATAAATATTTGAATTCTGAAGAATTATTGGTGATGTCGTGATTATATTTGATCGATTTTGAACCAATGCTGAAAGTGTTGCTGAATTTGGCTGTATTTTCTGAACATTTTGTTTAATCTGAATGCTAGGCGCTTCTCGCTTAATTGTCTGAGAAGTTGCTGGCTTAATCGGTTGATATTGTGACACTTTTGCAGTTTGTGTTCGAACGATTTGCTGCGGAATTGAAACCGGCTCAATTGCTTCATGCTTTCTTCGTTTAATTTCGCGAGGGGAATTAATCATTTCATCAGCAGGCGAGAAGCTTGAATTGCTGGCTGACGAAATATCCGACACTTGACTATGATTAGCATTATTATTACTATTATTGTTGTTGTTGTTGTTGTTGCTTTCATCCCAACTTAGCTGACTCAGAAAATTTTCATCCATTATGTTCAATAGCTTTTCCTCGTTCAAAGCATCTAGAAAATATAATATCTAGTAAGTTATAGTTACGTTATTAAAAAAAGAATATGACTTACAGATCTCGTTGAGATCCAGGTTGTCTGGAATGTCTAGATCCATTTGTTGCTGGAAATTATCCCAGTCCTCCATCTCTTACTTAATTTCACCAACTTTACTCTTTTTGCAGTTACTGAAAAAATTGACCAATCGTGAACGAGAGAGGAATCGTCTGATGTGTAGCGCTCAATAAATTACGTCACCTTCCATTATTTTCAACAAAAATCAATAAATATTGTCTTATTACACAACTTATTATTGACAAACTTTATAATTATCAATTATTATCGAGAGAAGTGTAACGATTATTAAGAGAAGATTAATTAAAGTCAGAGAAAAATAAATGATTTTTGTGTAAGACGCAATTTTTGAAGACGCCCATAATGATTCAAAAGAATAATAAGAAATTTATACTTACAAAGTGACTCTTAATTGATGTAACTTGATGAAATTCCGTACTTAAGATACTTAATCTGTTGATAAAATTCACTTAATCCATTGTCTTGACAGCTTATCCCAAATTAATTAATTTTTTAATTTTACTTTTGTTCTCTTTACGTTTTCAACAACAAATTGGGTTTTTACTTTGTTGTTCCCCTTTTTGCAACAAATTCAAATTTATTTATACCGTTAATTTTATGATCTATGTACTATGTTTTAATTCTACTTTGGAGCTATAAAATAAGTATCTTCTTCAGTTTTAACTGCATTTCTCAGCACATCCTTTTTGATATTTCCATCTGTAACCTTATCATCTCTTAATGTTAGCTGATAATTTTCGAGGACAGTGTAAAGTGGTTCAACATTTTCAGTATTTATGTTGTGGATCTTGCTCGCAAATTCTATTGAATCCTCAAGAACCTTTACTGCTTCCCTGAAATTAATTAACTGATTCATAATGTATCTAAAACATCAATAATAATCATCTTACTTCCTCTCGAGATCCACAAGACTTAATTTTTCTAATAAAAATATTTCATTTTCAGTGATTTTTATTCTTTCAGTTTTCTCACTAAATTGGGACTTTACAGTTTCCTGTGGAACTTTCGTCTTAAACTTTATCTCCTTCCAATCAAATATTTTTTTTTTAGAACTACAGAAAGTCCTTAATTGAATTAAATTTTTAAGATTTCTTGTCAACATACTTTTCAACGCAATTCTAATCCGAAAAAAATATAATCCGACATTGTTTACAACAACAACAACAATAATAATGTTGCGGAAAATTTGTGTGAGAAAATATTCGATTTTAATTAATGATTTTGAGCCTCACAGTGTTATATCTGTGATTCAATCGTCAAAAAAGGATTTGAAGAAAGCGAAAAGTTTAAAAGTAAGGAATGACATTAAAGAGAATGAAGAGAAAAAGGCTCAAAACAATGTCAATGAAATGGGAATTCAGATGATCAATGAACAGTTAAGCCGGCAAATTTTTGGGAACATTCAAAAGCCTGTATTTGATGCTGAAGTCATTGAAAAGTATCGGAAAGAGCTAGTAAGTCATGGAATAACTAATTTGGAGACTCCAATACTTCCAGATGTCGATTTAAAGCTTCCAAAGCTGATGGGAAGTAACATCCAGGAGCACTTTTACAATATAGCAAAAAATCAAGTACAGGATTATGAGAATCTGATCAAAAATATCCTATCAGCTCAAGTACCTCAAAAGCCAAAAGTAAGTAATGAAATATCCAATAAGAATCCATTAAAAAAGTAACTTTTTTCAACATCCAGAAATGGATTTTTGTAGCTGGCTGGACATGCTATGATGTCGAGAAAGGAACGTCATATTCAGTCCCTTATCCTCAGGAAGATATTTTAATTTTTGATGTTGAAGTATGTATGAATGCAGGAAGTTTTCCTGTTATGGCTACAGCTGTTGGACCTAAACATTGGTATTCGTGGACTAATAAAAAACTTATAAACCTTCCAAAATCTGACACAAAATCAAAGAAACTCACTCCAGATGATTTGATTCCTATGGAATCAACAATTGAAGATACAGGAATAAATCTATGTGATCGATTAAAGAAGCCACGACTAGTTATTGGACATAATGTTTCCTTTGATCGTGCACGAATAAAGGAACAATATTGGCTAGAAAGCACAGGAACTAGATTTCTTGATACAATGGCTCTTCATGTGTGCGTTAGTGGAGTTACAAGTTATCAACGAGCTATGATGAAGGCACACAAAGAGTTATCAGAAGAGGATCAAAATTGGGGAAGTTTAACATCACTAAACAGCCTTAAAGAAGTTCATAAATTATATTGCAAAAAGGAAGAAACTTTAGATAAAGAAATAAGAAACATATTTATGGAAGGTAGCTTAAAAGACATTCGAAATGACTTTCAGAATTTAATGACTTACTGTGCCAATGATGTTATAGCAACGAATGAAGTAGTTAAACAGCTTTATCCACTTTTCGATCAAAGATTTCCACATCCAGCAACTCTAGCAGGCATGTTTGAATTAGGATTAGCTTACTTGCCAATCAACAGTAACTGGAATCGATATATAAATGAAGCAAATTTAGCATATGAAGATTTAGACATTGAATCCAAAGCATTACTATCCCAAAGAGCAGATCATGCTTGCAGACTTAAACATAATGAAGAGTACAAAAATCATTTATGGATGTGGGATCAAGATTGGACAGAGCAAGAACTAAAATTTAAGAAAGCAAAATCTAAAGCCGATAATGATATTATTGAAGACATGCAGAACAAAGATAAAGAATTTCAAAATTTAAGTAGGAAGTTTCAAAAAATCATACAAAAAAAAGTTCTATTACCTGCTCGAAGACCTCTACTTCCTGGATATCCGCTTTGGTATCGAAATTTGTGTGTTAAGGATAATGGATCAAACGACTGGACCCCAGGAGTTTCAGAATTAGGAACAGGAATGCAAATTGCTCCTAAATTACTGTCCCTCTGTTGGGAAGGATTTCCTTTACATTTTATAAGGTACGAATATTATTATTTCTAATCGTCAGATTTGTTTTATATTCTCAGGATTTATTGCTAATCGTCAGATTTAAATTTTAATCCTTAAGATTAATTATTTTTCAAATATTTCATGACAGTTATTTTTTGAATAATTTTTGAACATTAATATGTTTTTAAAACAGAGGTGAAGGCTGGGGATTTTTGATGCCTATTAAAAGTCAACGAGAAGAAGGCGATACAGGAAAGATTCCACTTGAAGCATTAGTCAAGAAATGTCCACTTCGAATAGATAATAAGGCAGCAAATGAAAATGAAAGTTGTGAAGCTATGTCCAATTTGTGGACAGACGTTGAGAAGAATTTAAGTAAAAAGTCTTATTACAGTAAGAAAGGCAAGAAGTATGAGTCGTCAAAAGTTGATGATAGATATTGTGGATCAGGAGTTTGGTGTAATTTGGAACTGGAAAATTGTTGTTGGTTCTTTAAACTTCCTCATAAAGATGGAAAATCCAAGAATGTTGGAAATCCTTTAGCTAAGGATTTTATTAATAAATTTTCTGAGAATGTGCTGACTGGTGAAGGTCATATTGCAGAAAGAATAATAGAAATAGCACGAATGCTTTCATATTGGAGAAATAATCGAGACAGAATTATGGGACAAATAAAAGTATGGCTGCCAACTTCATCACTTCCAAAACATTTAGCAACAAAGGAGATGGAATATGGTGCTATTATTCCTCAAGTAGTAGTTTGTGGAACATTAACGAGACGTGCGATGGAACCAACTTGGATGACAGCAAGTAATTCTAAAGTTGAAAGAGTAGGTTCAGAACTTCGTGGAATGGTACAAGCTCCTGAAAACTACAAAATTGTTGGTGCTGACGTGGATTCTCAGGAATTATGGATTGCTTCTTTATTAGGAGATACAAATCGAAAGATTCACGGCTCAACAGCTTTTGGATGGATGACTTTAAGTGGAACAAAATCTAATGGAACTGACTTGCATACAATTACTGCAAAAGCTGTAGGAATTTCAAGAGATCATGCCAAAGTAATTAATTATGCTCGAATTTATGGTGCAGGACAAAATTTTGCACAAACACTTTTAAAGCAGTTCAATCCATCAATATCTGATAATGAGGCAAAGTCTAAAGCCATGAAAATGTTTGCACTGACAAAAGGCAATAAAGTTTTTTATCCATTAAAAGATTATGAGGAAGAATATTCAACAGTTAAAGGATTTTCACAATTTGAAGCTATGCGAATTGCTTCTAATTATTCCAAAAATGTTCTTGAAATGTTCTCAAAATCTCAATGGCACGGAGGAAGTGAGAGTGCCATGTTCAACAAATTAGAAGAGATTGCTGAAAGTAGTCTGCCTGTAACTCCATTCCTTCAATGTAGATTAAGTCGTGCCTTAGAACCTCAATCAGGAATTGATGATAGATTTTTACCTACTCGAATAAACTGGGTTGTTCAATCTGGTGCTGTAGATTTCCTTCATTTAATGCTGGTATCTATGCGATGGATTATGGGCGATAAAATAAAGTTTTGTCTAAGTTTTCATGATGAAGTCCGTTACATTGTTAAAGATGAGGATGCTGATAAAACAGCACTTGCCATGCATGTCACGAATCTTCTTACACGATCATTTTGTGTATCAAAACTTGGATTCTGTGACTTGCCACAATCAATAGCTTTTTTCACGTCCGTTGAAATTGATAAAATTCTTAGAAAGGAAGCTGAAAATGACTGCAAAACGCCATCAAATCTACATGGATTTACTAATGGCTACTCAATTAATTACGGCGAGTCTGTTGATATTTATGAAGCCGTAAAAAGAGTAGGAAATGATATGACAAAGTGGAAAGTATAGATTTGTAGTATTATTTAAATACATTTTTATTTTAAAAATAATAAAAGGTAATTTCACTGCCTAGTCCAGCTGTATGTCTTAAAGAAGGTTCAAACATTTAAAAGCTCTTTAACTAAGTCTGGAAGTGGCTGTAAATCAGTTGGAAATTCATAATATTTTGGAGCTTTTCTTAGTAACAGTTCATCATGTTCCTTCCAGAATTTCTCTTTAATTAAGTCATCATAAATAGGAATCGCAATTTTTCTCGTCCTACTTTCGTCAATTTTAATCTGTTTTGTTAGTAAAATAGTTCCTTTTCTATACATTGCAGGTAATTTGTTGTAATTAATTCCAAATTCACTAAACAGCAACTCATTTTTATCACTTGAGACTGTTCCTCGAAGCTTTTCTTCTGCTTCCACATTTGTTAATCCTTTTTTAAGCACCAAGTTCCAAAAACATGTATTATAAAGATTATTAATATGAACATCAGCTTGTCTCCAGCTCAAATAGTCTTTCAAGTTTTCTGTTGTTGGATATAACACATATCTAGCATCAAAACACGGGGGATATTGAAGTTTTTGATCACCAAACCATCGGTTCCAGTAAAATACAAAAGATGAGGTAAAGAGGCTGTTAACATTCGATACAATTTTTGATGCTCGTCTGTTGTAGACGTTTGCTGTTCGATGAAACACAAAAGAGTATTCATCACTCTGTCCATAAGCTATAATTATTTCATTAAATTCTTTCATAACACATCCTGCAGCAAAGTTCATAAGATTCAAGCTCCTTATGTCATTAGGCTTCTCAAAATTATGTGTATTAGCAAATTTATGAAAGTTCTTCCCGTCGATTCTTACAACAATCCAGCAATTTTGTAAAATTTTATCATCTGCCTCAAATGACTGCAAAATAAGTATTTTTAAATTAAAGCTCATATTAATTATTGTAGATTTTACCTTAACATACTCGAATTTACTCTTTGCCATCACTGTCCTATGAAATTTTCGACTTGATTGAATTAAAATGTATTTTAGAGTACGCAGCAACATGTGTAGGTAAACAAATCAATGCAAAAACACTAATTTTGAATTTTTTATGATCGTTATTATTCGATTCTCAGGTTTTAAAGCAGCATAAATATTGAGTATAATTTTATAAGATTTATTAATATAATAGGCATAAATATAATTATAGTGGATTAATAAAAATTTAACGTTCAGCTAATTGTTTGAGTTGTTTGAGAACTGTTTCTAATAATTTCTTCTTGTCTCTTTCAGACTTTTTCAGAACAGTGAACATATTCTTCTTCTCAGCTTCTCGGATTTTCTCAATCAACACGATTATTGTCGATGGTTCGACTAATGAATAACGATTTTCAGCCTTTCCATAATCATGCAAATAAACCGACCATTCCTCCAAGATTAATAAATCAAGTAATTGTCGAACTTGTGCGAAATATTTTGACAGCTCATTTTCTTTGAGTCCAGGAACTGGGTCACTTGCTGCAAAGAATTCACATTGCATTAAATCCAAGCTGATTTGTTGTATTGCACCAATTGTGACTTGTTTCACATCTTCACTTAATAATAGCTTATAAATTGCATTTGCAATATGTTCACAAGCCTTTCTGCAAGCAATTAAAGCGACATTCGGTAAAATGAATGAAAAACTGTGAAAAGTGCTCTGTAGGAATGAAATCAAATCAGATATGAAGGGTGAAGCATGTCCAATTGATTCTGTCAATAACCAGTCATAGCTTTCAAGTTCTTCAAAGAATTCGTCCAATTTTGAGCACAATTTGATCGATACTTGTTGTTCTGCTTCCGCTCGAGCGACCTAAATAAGTTTTATTGATATTAATATACAGTTTATAATTTAAAATTGGTGACTTTGTTACCTGAAACATGGCCATTGAAGGTGCTTGCTGATTTTGAGTTCCTGTCATTTTGCAGACAAATTCATCCAAAAATGGACCAGCTTTTTCCAAATATTGAGTGTCAATGATGATTTGAATGACTTGTTGCAAAGCTAAACTTGATCCAGGAGATTTAAAGACTAAAGAAAGACACCCTGAAAAGCTTCTTGTAAGTAATAAATTAGCAGCTTTCCTGACCATTGTAGCGACCTCGTTAGGTGATAAAGTTAATTCCTCACTGAATTTCATGCATGAAAACATAAATTCCATAGCTTGTTGATAGACTTCAGGCACCATTCTTGAGAATGGAAATTTCTTTGGAAAAGGTTGTTGCTCCAACTGCTCTGAATGAAATGGGAAGCGTTCGAGGACACTCTCGTACTCTTCAATTGTGTTTGTTTCTAACGGAAGGAAGTCACAATTATTTAAAATATCTCGAAACTCAATGACCCATCGTTGAAGCAGAACTTCATTGTAATGATCTCTAAGTTCTAATAGGAAGTCAAATAATTGAGTGACTGTGTATCCATGATATTTTAGTGTCGTTATGCTGAGCATTATTAAATTCTTAATTCTTAATAAAATATTTGGATCTGTGCATGATGAGGAACTCATGCTTAAGACATTAATTGCCTTGCCAAGAGATGTATTCCATAGATCTTCTAAATAGCTTCTTGTTACAATCTCTCCACTGCTTGTATTCATTACATGATCCTCAACAATAAAGAATCCAACAATTGAGTAAATGTACTTCTTATAAGCATCTAAATTGTCATGCATAGCTTGAGGTGCTTGTAGGACGAGTTTTGCTTGATCTTTTCGTTGCTTTTGATAATACTTTGCGAAATATTCCTTATCATCTAGTACTGTGTAAATGTGCAGGCATCGATAAATTGGAGAAAAGTCGATAAGATCTGCAGCACACAATTCCTCATCATCCATTGAATATTCTTCTGATATTTTAGCACTATGTTCTTCAAGGACTGTCTTTAAATTACGTTTTTGTGATTCCTTCGTATGCCTTAAAGCTCTTTCGCCAATAAAATGAGAATAATCCCTAACTTTTTGGAGAAATTCACAAAAATCATCCAGTGACTTGATCTCCTTCTTTAATCTTGGAATGTTTTCAATTATGGCTGTTGCAAATCTATAATTTGCTACTTTTGGAAGATGTTCCCTTTCAAGGACTTCGAGTGTCTTGAGTGCTGGATAATATCGTTTTTCATTAACTTGTTTCATTAATTTTGAATAACATTCCAGAACTGGCATACATATTGATAATGTCTCAATTGTGGATGCAATGTTACTTTCAACCTTTCTAGCTTCCAGTAACTCATATCCTTTTTTAATTAATCCTTGATTTGCTTGATTTAATGCACTGTTTAAGCTGATAACTTCTGTATTTAAATTATTTGTTTGAGCTCTAACTTGCAAGAGTTCTCGAATGCTATCAATGAATCCCTGATAATCACGGCATATTCTCTCAATTTCCTTATCGTGATGAACGATTCTCTTTTCCAGAATAGCTGAATGTTGTTCACAAACTACCTCCAATTTTGAATCACTTTGTAATAATGTCCGAAAAGTACTTTGATAATTCTCTTCTACCGCTTCAATCTCCTGAATTAGTATATTTGTCGTCATCACTCGATTTATTTCTCCAAGATCCTTAATTAAGAAAGATTTTTTGTTGTGAAAACTGATGTGTAATCTGATAAATCTAATGTGTAAATATTTACACATCATTTATTTAAATTCTCAAAATACGTTACAGAATTCGTGACATAATTTTTCATATTACAGCTTGTGAGTTATTTAAAGATAAAACTCTTAGTTAAATTAAATATGAAATTTGATTGACTGTTCATTGTGGATGAATAATATTTGTTTTTTATTTGATGAAATTCAGTTTTTTTAAAAAATCATTTCGAAGCCAGCATAAAATTTTATGCTTTTGTATTTTAACCTTCGCTGGTTGCGGTTCTGTATGTGTTTCGACCAATTACAGTAGGTTTTTGAGATTTTTTCCAGTTAAGGGTCGTTCACAAACAAGTCCTGATTACTTGCACTTGACACGTTTGAAGATATTTATTCGCTGATTTTCATACATATCCTACCAAAATGGTACCAAAACTACAAAGTTAAAATCTTTGTGGAATATCAAAATGAAGCTCTTATATAGGAACTGAAACAATCATAAGGTACTTTCGATTTAAAGAAGGCATAAAAAAATAAGAATTTTTACTCATTTTCAAATTCAAACAGCCACAGAATTGCAAAACAGCATTAAATGAAATTTGGCATAGAAGTCTATTTTTATATCCTATACATAAAAAATCCACTTGAGATTGTAATTCGAAAAAGTCCGAAAATCAAAGTGAAAGTCCCTCTTTTTTTCAATTTTGCCTCATAGTGGCCAGAAACTATGACACTTGTTGATGATACCCTATCAATTAAGAGAGTCTCCATCAAGAGCCTCATATTATTTTAAGAAGTCGAAAGATACAGTCGAGTATAAAATATTCCAAGCGATAATAAACTTCATTGTGGTTAAGTTAACTAAACTGAAAAAGAGTAAAGATGTCGATGTGCCCATTTGGATTTAGCCCATTTGAAATGGATGGTAAGCTATTAATTTAATTATTTAATCTAAAAACATGGTAAAAAGAAAGATTCAGTAAAGCACATGGTCAAAAAAAAATACAAAAGCCCACATGTTATTAATCGAGGGACTCATTTCGCTTGCAATGTCATATTACATTGTAATTGCTTCTTACAGTTCAGAAATAGATTAATTAAACTATATTTTCGGTAGTAGCTTAGCAATTCATAAATGCATAAATTCAAATTTATGAAACTTAAATTTTTGCAACTAGAGTTCATAATCTCTTTATAATGAACTACTTATGAATAGACTTTTAAATAGTTTAAGTACTATTTAAAGTGGCTTTTCCTCTGCGTAAAGAAGATAATAATAATGATTATGTTTCAATTGTTCTTAAGGTTTGGAACCTCGTTTCGGTCAAGGAATAGCTCATAGTGACTTCTTTTCTGACCGTTTGGTTCCTCGAGCTGGAATGCATAGTTTGTTGACTGGATATAAACGTCCTTGGGCTATAAATCATTCTGCTAAAAGCATGATTAAGGATCAAAAAAATCTTCACTTCGGAAAGGATGGATTTCAAGCATCTGTAGATGTTCATCACTTCCAACCGAGTGAGATTACGGTCAAGACAATCGAAAATCAAATAGTTGTAGAAGGTAGGCACGAAGAAAGAGATGATGGTCACGGATCTATTCAGCGTCATTTTGTCCGAAAATATGTTTTACCGAAAGAATATGACATGAATTCCGTTCATTCAACATTGTCATCGGATGGAGTTTTGACTATTAAAGCTCCCCCACCACCAGCAATCTCTGGAACTTCAGAAAAGCATGTCACGATCACTCATACCAACATCCCAGCACATTTGAATATTAAGGAACATCCAAAATCTCCACAAATCCAACATGATAATGGAAAATCACCTGCTGTCAATAAGCCTTAAATTTTGTTATTTTAAAATGTTAATTTTTTTTTTAATCTGTTACAAGTCAATCCGCGGATATGGCATCTATGGCCTATCAAACTTAAATTGTTTACACGTAATGGAAATATTAAAGCTTTGTAGAAAGGGCCTTTTTGTGTTCTGTACCAAAAAATAAAAGAATGAAATAAGAACTCTCGTTGTTGCTACTGCCTTAATCTTTGGATTCATCCAAGAATCTATTATGAAACATTGTGGGAAGTGGAAGTGAAAAGATTGTGTATAGACTTTAAAGTTTTATTTACCAATACTTTTCATCACATTCTAAGTGAGTTTCAGCTTAAAATTGGGTAAATACTCAAATGAAATGAAGAAGTATAAAGGCACAAACTGTGTGCAGTAATGCTGTTTAAAATGAGAAGTAAACTTTAAATGCAATTAATGTGTGAATCTGTTAATTCTCATGCATAAATATAATATGATTTGACCTCAATAATCCCTGTGTGTTCTCAGGTGCTGTGCTTACTTTACTTTATGAACTATGCGATGAGTTCATCTACAATTTTAATTAAAAAATTTTCTGTATGCTTTTCCCCGTATATATTAGCTTTTTGCATCTTACTGTCTCTTGGTCGTCGTATATCCATTTGTAATATCAGTGATTATCTATCGATAGTGCAATGACCAATGAGGAAGTAAATCAAGTTGTTGAGGATCGAACGTAAGTTGCATTATTATGTGATACATGCATAAGTTACTTCAAGTACAATGCCATAAAACTAGCTTGCTTTGTAGCCATATACAGTCCGTTTATTGTTATACTATATTATTCATAGACTCTGTGTTGTGCATATTTGTGAAGTAACAAGAGGAAAATGAAAAGAGATTGAAAAATCAGTTGCCACATTTTCTCTCGTCGATTCCGTACACTTTTCATCAGTTTTTAAAACTAATTCATTTTCTATTTAAAATAATAATAATAAAAAATAGCAAACTCACTCAAAAAGTAATTGTTTTATTGATGAAAAGCTACAAATTGGCTCTAAAGAGATCATAATACATGAATAGATGACCCATTTCAAATGAATTAATACAGACATAGCTTGTAAGGAAAGCAAGAAATCGATGACTGAACATCAAAAACTAATAGTTTTGAGAAGTCTTTCGTGATTAAAAGAAGCGCATATTCTCAAATTAGAGTTCAATTGCCCAGATTTTTTTTAAATAACGTTCAAGATTTTGAAAAACTTGACGAAAATAAAATTAATGTTTTTCAAATTTTAACGAAACATTTTAGTAGCGGAAAATTACAGCATATGAAAGGAAAGCAGCAGTCAAGCAGTCAAAAAGCGGACAATAGCATCGAATGAATAGTAGAAAATGCACAAAAAATGGAATTGAGAATGAATGTGTTGCATAATAACCGAAAACTTATATATTGTATGCTCATAAATTATGTTCCGTTGACCCAAATACACAATGCACATTGATTCCAAATCGTTCTGATTATTTGATACCTCAATTCGATTCCGATTATGTTTCTCGCTCAAAAAAGAACATAAAAATTATGTTGGAGCATTTATTGTTTTATCAAGTGCAAAATACTTTCACGTCTCTTTTTTTCTTAACATCCATAACTGGATTATACAATCTGCTTCAATTTGTATAACATTATTAACACAAAATAACACTTAATCATGGAACATTTGCATATATCTATGTAAATAATTTAATTTTATTATTTTTTGATTATGAATCACGCCTGATTAAATCATTGTGTGTATGTATGTTTGTTGTAATCTAATATTCTTCAAGTCACTCATAAAGTCATCGCACAATAATTTTACAATCATGAGTCTGCCTTGCTTTTATAGCTCTTTTGACTAGCTATAAAGTCGGTGTTGTGTTTTGAAATTTCGGGAAGCAGATTTGACATAATCTTTCGCATTTTAATATTATTGACTTATCGACTGACTGCGTGAATAAACTTCAAAAGATCACATTAAGTTTGGATTTCGCAATTCAAATTTGATGATCCGCCAAGCTCAAGTAGGTATTTAAATTATTTTAGGGATCAGCATGTTTGTAATTAAATCCAGCGATTTAATCATTGAGATTATATAAATCTTGAGATTTAAAATAAATCCAGTCATCCTATTGATTTCAATTTGCCTGCCATTTATGCTTTCAATTCATAAATAACTAGCTAGATAAGATCAGATGAGCATTATCAATCTAGGTAAAGTAGAATCTTTAATTCTCGTTCAGATTCACTGCACGTCGCACCATTTTATTTGCTCATCCATCCATAATGCAGCCTATAACTCAACAAAGTAAAGCAAATTGGCAGAAGAAGAAAGAAAAAGAATCACATTTGATGGGAAATATCCAAAGAATAATCATTTGCACATCTTGAATTTAATGATTCATGTTTGGTGCATTGAACAGCACAGTACGTCTAGACAAGAAATGTTTCATGTACATTAAATAGCGGACAATAATAATATAATGAGTCAGTCACAAAGAAGTGTTGTTAAATGCCATGGAAAATTGTTTAAAAATAAACAAAACTTCTTTTTTTGCATAGCTCTACATTAAGCTGTTCTAGCAAGCATAAGTGCGGAAAAATCAATGAAATTTTTTAAAAAAAAATAATAAGCACGACAGCAAAGAGAGGAAGAGAAATTTGCTCTCATCTGCTTCCAATTCCTCAATTTGTTTTTTGTTGTTTTACCGGTGATAACGACATCTGATTGCTGCAGTTTTATGCTGCATGTTTACATAATTTATGCAAAAGTAAAATAAATTGAGTATAAAAAAAGAAAGTTGACGCTGTGTTGCTTGCTTGCTGAGCGTCTGTTATATATTATTAAGTAAACCGATGGATTCGATTTTTCGCTTTGTTGATTAATATCTATTGAATTGATGGAAGAAGAAGATGGAAATGAGATTCATTATGCTGAGTTATCTAAAGCTACTTAACTCAATTATTTATTAATATTTTTCGACACTGCATTGTTTAATATCACAGCGATGGCTAGCACATTCTTCGTGTCAATCCAATAAATTATCTCGTTAAGTTTAAGTGCTGCTGCTTCTTTCACTTATTTTGTCTTACTTATCTATAGAATGTTTGGAATAAACTGAAATGACGTACATAGTAAGTAGGGTATAGTGGTAAAGGAGGTCTACAGCAATTAATGAATTTTAAACTCAAACTTAGGTGTTGGGTGTCATGATGTTGTATATTAGAATCATTTATATCCAATTAGGTTTTCTGTGTGAGTCGTAAAGCATATTTTGCAAAGTACTGATTCAGACCCAGAATTTAAGTTTAGAACACATGTCAAAGACACTAGTAAAGACCCGTAAAGACCTTGCCTATATATAGTCACAATTCATTTGGTCATGCTAGAGAAACAAACATTATTAGGTAACGAACCTAGATAAAGGAGACAGGCAGAATAGTGTTGGGTGTAGACCGTAATACATCTCCAAATGAGATGCTCATAATTCTTTATAATTTTATCATAATTTAAAAAAAAATCACAGACAATAGAATGAATGAGTATGCATGTAGATGTGTCACATAATCTGTTTGCAGCCAATCTCTCATGTTGTTCATGCTTAATGATGTATTAAAAATTATCTCAACAATTGATTCAATATTATAAAGAGGAGTCAGCAGAGGAAAAAAAGTCATGAAAAAAATTGACTTGATTTGCATTTAGGCATAACGGTTTGAGGAAAAAACAGCGACAAGACACAAAACAAACCGCGAGAAATTGAGCGATAGAATACGAAATGTGGATGTTTATTTCTCTCACAGACTTAATTCACATGTTACTTATTTTATTTTATTTTTTTTTATTTCATTCAACGCTAATTCAGTTTCTGCACTTTATGCTCTTTTTGGTGAACAACTGGCAACACAGCACAGCACTTTAAAAGTATTTTCTCTCGTTCTTTTGGCTTTTTTTTCTTCTTTCAATACGATTTATTTGAGGCCTCTCACTTCACATGTTCAGTGCTTATATTTTTTTTTGTTCAGCCACTCAGTCTCGTCGTACTCATTGAACTGTTCACTTCTTTCATTAAGTTATCTATAGTTTTTTTTTATTACTTACCATTTTTCTGTTTTGGCTAAGCAAATTAATTAATAAAAAATTCGAATCCTAAGTAAATTTCTATTGTAATCAGTGAGTTGTATCCGAAAACAGAGACTAAAGAAGAAGTGCAATAATTATTTAAAAAGGTGTTATAGATAACTTGAAAAGAAAGTTACATGTTTGATTGTGGATTAAAATGCATAGTTTTGGTTTGATTATTCATCATTACTGATAATTTCATTACAACTTGTGGCCAGCAATAGTCAGGAGTGTTGATGTGTTGTTGCATAAATAAATGATCGTGAAAGTTTGCTTTTAGATGAAGAAGGTGATAATTATATAGATTCTCTGACTGACTGTCTGTTTACCTTTCATGACTTTTTGACCATTTGTTTCATTTCATCACACATCGTCCGTAAAGTATTTATTCGAAAGCTTAAATGATTCAGAAAAGACTGCAAATAATTGCTTTCAGAATGTGTGTATCTAAAAGAGAAAGGCTTATGGACGACGCATGAAAAGTGATAAAACATTCGGCACCTCCTTGTTTTTTTTTGTTGTATCCACATGCTCAGGATTAATTTCTAGAATTTTAACGGTTTACTAAAATTTGAAAATTGAACGGTTTTCAAAAATTTGAATCTCATGAAAAAAATGAACTGAACGAAAATAAATTGTTTTGGTTTACTGAACAAACATGAAAAAAATATTGTGAATTGAATATTTAAATTGTGTTCTAATTAAGCAGTGAAGAAGTATTATAAGTTGGTGGGAAGACAAAGGCACGATCTAGATTTGCTAAGCATTCAATTAAAAGAGCACTCTGTCTGTAAATGTGATGACAAAACTCAAAAACAGCCAGAATCACAGCGTAAAACAAGTTTTATTGAGTATATTTATTATTAATTCCTTGTTCTTATTATGTACATGATTGCTTTGCAATTGCACACACAATTTCCATACGCTCTTAACTATTACGTATGAATACAACAGGCAGAAACAGAAGAGAAATGAAAAAGAACGGATAACTCTTGATTCTCCTTTACTTACCTAGATTCATACTATTATTATCAGTCAGTTGTAAGCTGTGAAACTGGAAAAGCAGCGGTATTTCATGTACATAATACACATTGATTGAAAACAACTTAATATAGAGAGAGATATTTAGGCAAATCGATTACATGCATTGTCATATTTCCGAAAGATTTACTCTTGCCAAAATGATGCAGGCATGAACAAACAGTAAATATCTCACAATATTACACATAGCTTAAAATGGAAGTAACTAAGAAATACTTGAAAATCGTGCGTACATACATCATACGTATTAAATAATTTAACGAGAATTCAATATAAAAGAAAAGAAGAGAAGGGAAGAAGATATTTGGGGAACTAAAAATAAGCAAACACATATAGACCAAGTGTGAAATTTCTCAATTAAGTCAATCAATACACTGGAATACATATATTTGTACTTAATGCCTTTTTGGATTATCTTCAATGTTCTTTCTTCATTTTCCAAATTGCGAATAAATTACAAAATATATTTATACATACAAAGAAGAAAAGAAAGACAGCACTAAGCAGCAGTCGAATGAATGTATGTGACTCATAATCACAAAAAAATTCTGCTAGAAGCAGCTCTTTTAACTGTTTAGTTCTACCTTACAATATTCTGATAAGTCCGTTTTTGGGTGTGGAAATTTAATGATAGAGTTGTATATTTTGCTATGAGCGGCTATAAGCATAAGTTCATTGTGTTTAGCCATATCAGCCTTTTGTTATTTCTATTGATCACATAACGTGGATTAACCGTGTATTTTTCTTTTTGTGCCTACCTAATATATTAGTGCAAAACAGATTTTTTTTAACACTTTTTTTTCTCTTCTGTGTGTCTCTGTTTCTCTCTTTGCAGACTGTATAGTGTGGATGTAAATTAAAGCGAATAAATAATTTTTTTTGGAAGACTATTATTTTAAATTAAAAAAAAAATTAAATAGAGGACGGACGACAAAAAAAGACAACAAATCTCTCATTACTTTAGTCATTACGTACAGTATAATTGAGTGACTGAGTACATTAAAATTCCGTTGATGGTTAAATCATCCGGCAACAGTGGAAAGAAGAAAATGGCAGGAACGGGTGAACTTATGATTCAATTATTTTCGTGCTGCATCCAGCAACAAAGTCCCACACGACGAACTCATCATCGCCAGAGAATACGAATAGACAGGTCTATGATAGGAAATCCAACGAATTTTGTGCACACGGGTAGCTATTAATTATTATTTATTTTGATTATATCCAATAATTTATCGATTGAATCCATCAAATTAGGGCATATTGGTTCGAATGATGCTGCGTTATCAACACGCCACTTAGACATTATTCATAGTCAGATGCAAAGTAAAGGTGGCTACGATGCAAATTCATTGAGAATTCAAGTGAGTGACTGACATCGTCAACGATGAATAATAGTCAATAATGCTATCTTATTTTTATATTTATTTCAGGCCTGTTGATTAATACATTCATATTCAGATGACGAATAACGATATTTCTCGTGAATCTCATGTCTATAATCAGAAGCATTTCACTATTCATAGATTTGTAAGAGTGAACTGGCCTAACATGTTGGAACTTCTTCGTTCATAGAAATTAATTTAAGGAGAATTAATTGATAGCAATCAAAATAATGTAACTTCCAATCTACATATTGTGACCCTTTATCATTATTTATAAATGCTTTCTTTTTGAATTTAATGTACTTATGTATTAATTTTGATTCAAATCAATTATTTCTATGCCGTAATTAATTATAAACCATGTTGTGATGATTATTATTTTACCTTTCTCTCTTTGTACATAGTTCCTTATCAATTTGAATTTCATTATTACTTTTTTTTCTATTCAAGAGAATTATGATTAAGAATCTTAAGATTTATAATGTAGTAATATGTGCCTCAAAGGATCATTAAAAAAATAAATATAAAAGAAACATTTTTAAATCCTAGCTAAGCTCTTTTCTTTTTTTTATAAGTTTCAGTATTAACGGTTGAAAATAATTTAAATTTCTCGTCAGAGTAAATTTCTCACGGAATCGCTTAAATCCATGTCATTGATGTGAATTTATTCTGAATTTTATTTCTAATCACATGACCAAAGGAAACTGAAATTCAGAGATAATTTGTGTTTAACGCTACAGATTGCTTAAAATTAATTAACAATGTCTTCAAAGGATCGTATCCCACTCTTTCCATCTCGAGGGTAAGTAAAATAATCAACGAAACGGATGGAATTGATAGAATTTCTTAAATGTTTTTATTTTGTCCAAAATCGATAATCAAAAATTTTAGAGCTCAGACTATGATGAAAGCTCGTCTTGCAGGAGCTCACAAAGGTCATGGATTACTTAAGAAGAAGGCTGATGCTTTACAAATGAGATTCCGTTTGATTTTAGGGAAAATCATTGAAGTAAGACGGTTGTCATTCAATATTCTACAGATCACATAACATAATTAATTGATATATTCGTTGTAGACAAAGCAAATCATGGGTGAAGTAATGAAGGAAGCTTCCTTCTCATTAGCAGAGGCTAAATTCGCAACAGGAGACTTTAATCAAGTTGTTTTGCAAAATGTCACAAAAGCTCAAATCAAGATTAGAACTAAAAAGGATAACGTTGCTGGTGTACAACTTCCAATTTTTGAGTCATATCAAGACGGTTCCGATACTTATGAATTGGCTGGTTTAGCTCGCGGTGGTCAACAATTGCAAAAATTGAAGAAAAACTATCAAGCTGCTATTAAAGTGCTCGTTGAATTAGCATCACTTCAAACATCTTTCGTCACTCTCGACGAAGTCATCAAAGTCACCAATAGAAGAGTCAACGCTATCGAACACGGTAATTTATATCTGTCATGTGATTAGTGCTCAATATTTATCTAACATCCACTTATTGTGTATTTTAGTAATCATTCCAAGACTTGATAGAACTTTGTCCTATATCATTTCCGAACTTGATGAATACGAGAGAGAAGAATTCTATCGCTTAAAGAAAATTCAGGTATGACTTTCACGAAGTTGTGCCTTAGTTGAGATTATAAGTGTTGATTTGTTGTAGGATAAAAAACGTATTTCACGTAAGAAGGCTGAGAAGGCAAAAGAGGAATTGTTGGCTCGAGGAATCGATGTTAGAGCTGTCAGCAATATGCTGGAAGAAGGTGACGAAGACATCCTTTTCTAAATTGAAAGCATAAATGAAGCGTATTATAATTGTTGCCGCAAACACAAAAACGAAGATAATATTGATAAAAATTCCTTTCTCTGTTGATACATATTATGCTTTATAAATTAATAATGAATGTTGATGAGTATTCGAGTTTAGATGAAGAAATTATAAAGTGATGTTTATCCATTCTTTTTTTTTCCGGTCAGAACATGATTGTAAATTATAAATACTATATATGCATGTGTTTCATTAAGACATACTAACTTAAAAAAATGATGATGATGAATAAATTAAACGATAATCAACTTATATTAAGCCAAAAAAGAGAGTCGTTGCAAAAAAGTGTTGAATTAACGCTTCTCAAACTGTTGTGCTGTTGAAAATTTTGTGTATTTGTGGACTGCGACTTAAAGATGTTGAGGTAAGTTTAAATATATTAAACGGTTATTTCAAATTCGAATTTTATGATTTTTTAATTCCAAATTGAGACGTCTTGGAGTAAACCTCTATCATGCAGTATTAATTTATTAAATCCTAGTTATTCAAAAATGTGGCTCAAAAATCATTGATTATTGTCAATTATAATTGAAGAAACAACAAACAAAGGAAATAAGTGAGTTCATACATTCATTAATACTATTAAGATTTAAATTAAGTACCGTATTCCAAACAAGTTTGAGAAGCTCTATACACTAGCTGTGTATAAAAAGTGTAATTTGCAGTAGAGGTCGCTAAATGACTCGAGTGAAAAATAATAATTCTCTTCTTATTAAGTCAGTCTGATTTTTGTTTTCATCGCCGTAACAACAAACAATATAGTCAGTGGAAACGAGTTATTCTCTCTTTATTATTATTTTTATTTTATGGCAGCTTCTTTAGTTGTTGCTTTTAAAAAACACAAAAATCATCCTGTGAAAATTCCAAGAAAATTAAGGAAAAATTAATTAAATGAAAATTATATTACATTAAGGTAAAAAAATAGTTTTATTCGAAAAAAGAAAATTCTTGTGGAAACCTTGAAAAAGTAAATAGTACGAAAATTTTTAATGAAAACACAAAAAAAAGCTAAAAATAAGTGGAACAAAGTGGTTGAAAAATTAAGGTTTTTAAAATAAAGAAAAATTGCATAATAACAGATGATTTTAGTAGTGATACAAATGTCGATTTTTGTAGGACTCACAAAAGAGATACAGCTTTGATCAAAGTTCAGGGAGACTCACGCAGAAAATTACGCAGTATTATGATAATGATTTTCACTTAATTTCCATATGTTCAGTACATTAAACTCGTAGAAAAAAATAGCTCATCATATGTTTGAGGTCTGTTTATATCCAAGCACGAGAGAGAGAGAGAGAGACAAGAATAACAAAAGATCCTATAAGTGGCTCAGAATTTTGATCTCGATTGAACTCTCAAAACATTTATTCACATATAAAAGTAGTTAATAAGTTGCGGATTGAAAGAACAAAGAGTTTCAGTCACTTCAAGGCTATCTCTGTGTGTATACATGTAAAATGAGCAATAAGACGTACCTGATTTGTTAATATAGTTCGTGTGTTTGATTTTGTATTTATTATTTATTTTATAAGAGATGTATTTTCTCTCGTCTTTATTAAAGCATTATTAGTACTCGCTATGACAACACTAGCTAACCAAGTTGTTCGTTCTCAAAAGCGATAGTCAAATAGTCGTAATTTACAATTTACTTTATTTCACACTTCTGTAATATACTTCAAATCGTCCGTTTGTTTGCTTGCTTGCTTTTCCATGACATTTTACTGTACTCAAATCAATCTTAGAATAAAATACATTGGTCTATAGCTAGGTATAGATTCAATCTAAGAGGTTAATTATAAATGATATTCAACCTTTTGGGAGGTTTGGATCTGTCACTTTGTGACTACTTATATAGGGGTGGGATAGTCTCAAACTTAATTTGTGAACGACCTTTTATGATTACTAAAGATTCCTCAAAAATAGCAAACCTAGATTTGGTTAAATCCATCAAGTTAAATTAAATTCTTAGATAAATCCATAGGATTAATTAAAATCGGCAGATTAAAACTCAAAATTAATTCAAAATCCTACAAATTAAACTATTATTCCTACATCGAGGAGCTCAAAACGTGACTGAATTTAAAGAATTTCAAGTTTGAAACAAAACAGACTTATCAATTGCTTTTGACGGACTGTGAAGCTAGTGATGATTTTAATATAAACACACGATTTTTCAATAGTTATTAATAATAAAGCATCTATATGTTTTGATGTCGTTGCTTAAAGGCGGAAAAAGATTCTCTTTACATTAAAAATTATTATTAAAGAAGTAGTAATCGAGTAGGAAAGAAAAGTAATGCGCACAAACAATAAGAAACTCGCTCGGGAGTTATTATCATAATAGTCATAATAATAAAAAAAAAGTAAAAAAAAAAAAATCAGCTGTGTAAACTTTGGAAAGAGAAATCACAAGTTTTGCGCTGTTGTTTATCTGACACCTACAAAATTCAAAATTCTTTGTGTGCTATACTAGTTCCTAGACATTATTATTTTTATTTTTTGGATCGATACATTAGTCATCAATTCTTCGTTATATCCATTTTATGTGAATATTGGACAGACTAAGTTTTCATTGTGCAAAAAATAAACAAAACAAAAACCTTAATTCATATGTGAATAAACGCGAAATAAAAAGCAGCAGAAGTTACAAAATCATATTTACAGCAAAAAAAAAAAACCAGCCCAATAATAATTTCGCATGAAGAGTTGCACTGCTGAAAAAATACATTAAATATTATTATTATTTATTTTCGGGGTTCACAAGAAGTGAGAGAGAATGCTCAATAACTAGTTGCTCAAGTGACTTACAACACACAGAGCTGTATCGAAAAAAAAAATTAATTTGATTTAATATTGCCTCTTGCAGTCAACAGAACATACACACCACAATTATTACTGATACAAATGTGATATATTGATACACATCGAAGAGACAAAAATACACGAAAGCAGAATCGAATAATAAACAAAGAAGTTTCATCATGCCCACATTGCTTGAAGCTTTAGAGGAGAAATATGGTGGATTTGGACAGACGAGTGATCTTAGTGAAGCAGAAGCTGAACTAATAGTCTCTATATTTGTCCCGAAACGTCCACCACGGTTAAGGTAATCACATTATTGTTATTACTATCGAGGTGATTCGCGATGCAATAAGGAAGATAAGATACACGTTATCTGTGTCCAAAATAACATTGCACGATGAGATTAAATAATGTACAAGCATTTTACGCTCTGTCATGAATATTCAATTAAATTATTGCATTTTTGGATTTCTCTCCTATAAGACTATAGTTGTAGCTATATAATCATGAACAAAATGGTGTTACTAATTTACTAATAAATGTTACTTTATTTTATTACACAATTTTTCTTCCAATAATAACCAACAAACCTAAACAACAAAATGCAGTGTGCCTCAAGTTTTAGTGCTTAATGATTGTGGAATCGATCAAGCCGGCTCGGCTGAAGACTTGAAAAAGAAATGCAACACGGTTAAAGAGCTTGATTTGGCACAAAATAAATTGGAAAATTGGAATGAGGTAATAAACTAATTTTACAGCAGTTTTTCTTAGAGATTCACTGTCGTTCGCTCGACTCTGACCTATATTTTCACTTTCATGTCAAATAAGTAGGAACGACTGAGCTTAAAATAGATAATTAGTGACATTCTTTTCTTTTCTATTTCTGTCATTTCTTTCATGCAACAGGTCTTTAATATTTTATCACACATGCCTCGCATAGAGTTTGTCAACTTAAGCTTGAATCGCTTGCAAATGCCGATTAGATCACCGCCAAAAATGCGCATAGATAATCTCAGATCGCTTGTATTGAACAACACGAGGCTTAACTGGTTCAGTGTTGAGGAACTTTTGAAGCTTTTGCCATCCTTAGAGGAACTACATTTAAGTTTGAACGAATACACTAACGTATTATTAGATACAGTAACTGAAGATCATGGAAATAGTAATAATAATAACAGCTCATGTGATCCTACAACAATGATGTCTACAGATGAATGCTGCGATGATGAAGAAATAAACTGCACTGAAGGTAATAATCTGACATCAATTTTTTTTTTATTATTTTCATCACTTTTTGCCAATTTAAATCGCGTGAACAGCAACACTTTGAATTCATTGCTGCCTGATTTTTAAATTGATTTGATTTGAGTCTGACATGCTTCCTTCTAAAAATACGCTGAGCTGAGTCTGTAGAATTCTATTTAATTTTTGTTTTACAATAGACATACAGAGATTGATAGTAATTGATATTTAAACTTTAGTTCCAAAAAGTAGCGGGTTTGAATTATTTGAAAAACAACGGTTATTTGAAATTTGAAAAATTTAACGAAACTTTAGACGATCTTAACGATAGAATTTTTGAATTAAAAGTCAACGATTTTTTTTTTGATAAGCATTAAGATCATCATCATCAATTAATCATTTCCAACTCTGTAACAGCTGATTCCTAATTGCAAACTTTTAATTGCCACACATAGTATATTTAATTAAATCTTCAATAAATTAGTTTCTCGATTCATATTCGCTCATATTTCTGCTATTTCTTCATAATAAAACACATTCAAGGCTCATCGTGCTGCAATGGATATTTAAAGACAACAAGTGCCCATGAAGGAGTTCGCAAGTTGCATTTAAATGGAAATCCAATAACAGACTGGCATGAAATTTGTCGATTGGGAAGAGTTTTCCCGAAATTAGAAGCATTAGTGTTGGCTGAATGTCCATTAAGGTATGATATAGTAGTATTCATTATATAATCTTTTGGTCTAATTACTCGAAATTGTTAACGTAGGTCAATTTCACCTTCACCGTCTATCGAGGAGAACAATCCAACAGATGATGAGAGCACACCGCATGAACATTTTCAGTAAGCATAACAACAAGCATTTTATGTGAAAAACTATAAAATAAAATTAACTACATAACTTTACATGCTATTTATATCTCATTTCAGAAATCTTCAGTTATTAAATTTGAGTAGTGCTGATATAAAATCATGGACTGATATTGATCGACTGACTAAGTTTCCCGCATTAAAAAATTTGCGTGTACAGAACTGGCCTTTATGGAGTCAATGTGATTCAACAGAGCATGAGCGGAGACAGTTTGTAATTGCGCGACTTCCTAACGTTGAAATCTTAAATGGAGGTGGACGTATTGGATTTGAGGAGCGGGAAGATGCTGAACGAGCATTTATACGATATTACATGCAAAAACCTGAAAGTGAACGACCCGCAAGATATTCTGAACTCATTTCTAAGCATGGAAAGATTGATCCACTCGTAAAAATTGATTTGAGACCAGAGAAGAAAGTACAAGTCAAGTTTATATTTAAGGAACGTGTAGAGAATCGTTTTGTTGACGTTTATAAGTAAGTTTTGCATGCGCAAATGAATTCCTGTAGTGTTTGAAATATACTTCATGATTTTACAGTTTAATTTCGAAATTAAAATTTAAATCCGACTGGATTTAAAGCAGCACAAAGCAAGCACATTATTAATTGATACACTGCATTTACCATATTTAGGAATGTAACCGATCTCAAGTTTAGACTTGAAAAACTCTTTGGATTGCCAGCAAGCAAGATGCGCTTGTATTATGTTGATCAGACATACAAAGATCAAATGGGTCCAGAAGAAATGAAATATCCAAATAAGCAGCTTTATTCATACAATATAGCAACTGGTGATGAAATTATAATAGAACAGAAAGAAGTAAAGAAGTAGGAACTAGTGACAGGAAAAGAAGTGATTTTTGAGAAGCACTTTAGTTATTGTTTGTGATTAACTTATTCATTATTCCCCCCAATTTTAATTAATTTTATATATTTGTATTATGTATGTTGTATTGACAATAATCAGGAACAGAACAAAATGCAGAAAGCAGCTTAAACATTAACATCCCACAATTAATACCAGATTTTTTTTCTTTCGTTTGCATACTAATCACAATAATGCTGTGTTATGAATTATGAACCACTATTAGAATTTATGGCTTTAATTTTTATTTTATTATTTTTTTGACTCATCAAGTCGTATTAAATAAATTCAGAATTTGTGAGATGTTCATCTTAGCGAATGTCTCCTGATTCGAGCCCTAACTACAGTACTACATAACGTACATAATTTTATGTTTAAAAGCTCACACTAAGTCCATTTGTTTAGTTTTTAATTTAATTTTATTTTACACGTTTTGTGTCTTTAGAATTGTTTAAGTTTTTCTCTCATATCATCTGGATGAATGATATTGAACAGTGATTGATTGAATGTAGGAACTAGAAATTCTCTTTTTTAATAAAAAAATTGATGCAGAAATAAACGATTTGCGTTATTAATCAAGACTATTTTTTCAGACAAAACATCGTAAATCCAATGACATTGGAAGGAATGAAGATGAAAAGTTGATGCACACATCATGTTGTGAACTATGCGATAAAAATTCTCTAATCTTGTGTATCAAAGAATTAGGTTTGGATGCTTTGGATTTATTAGTTGTCATCCGTATTTGATTTCGTTTCTAAACTTGCTGCTTGTTCTTTGTTCAAGATCTCATTGATCGACTGGATTTATTATGATTAAAAACCAGCATACGAGTGTCCAATTTGTGTCCAGCATTCTTAAACGTTTGTATACAATAATTTTGGAAAGAGTGACCATGCGCGAACGAGCTTTTATCGTAAGCTTTTCGAGAGTTTGTTGTTGAGGATGAAATATTTAAAATTCTTAAGATTTTTAGAGGAATTAGCTCCTTTTGATTTATCAAATGCATTTTATTTAACTAAGCATAGCTACTTGAATGATAATCAGCAGTTGTCATCGATTAGAAATGACAGAAATAATCGAGAAAATCTCAAGAGCTTTTTGAAGATGTGAGAAAATACGGAAAACATTACATCAGGAGCTTTGGAAAACTCTCAACATTTTCAGACGTCGCTTTGTCGTTGACTAGAAAGGACGATTTTTATACATTAAGGATACAATTTTTGTTTTTAATAGAAAAAAACTGTTTCTAAATTTAAAGCTTTAAATATTTTTTAAAGGACGTATAATTGTGCTTATCGTGATCTTGAATATTTAATATAAGGATTTTCTAAAACTTTAATTAAAGCAGGTAAGCCACTCGCATAAATTATTATCACATTACATGCAATACTATCGGATAGTATTAATCTTAAAGGAAAATATCAGAGTACTTTAAGATACGCACGAATATAAATTACGATTCCTCCCTAAATTTTTGTGCTGGGAGGGTGGGTTATGATGGGAGTGATTCTACACAAGAATTCGCATAGAATGGGGATATAAATTTCGATTTTATTCTCAAGAACAGTTCAGACGACTTTTAGTGTCTTTGTGTTTAATTATTCTGTTCTGAGGATACTACTTCCTTTTCTATGTAGATTTTTGAAGGATGTTCTGCCTCTTGATACCTTTAAGCGCGTTTTCTAGTGAAGGAGTGATTATTTACTTTTTGTCTGTCGTTCCGTTTTTTATTAGAATTTTTAAAATTTATTTGACAGTTACTTTTTGAATATTTATCGGTCGTTATTTTAAGTGAATAAACTCTTATAAAAATACGCTCCTTTCTTTCATACCTAAACAGTATTTCCCGTTTGATTTAATTCCACAGGATTAAACATGTTGGATAACATTGAATTTACATTGATTAAGCCTATTCATTACGATGATGTTATTGAGCATCTCAAGGAGAATTTCTTCTATGATGAGCCATTGAATCATGCTGTTGGATTATGTAGAATTAAAGGAGAATCAAATCCGGAATTAGAGAAGCACAGTTTGGCGACATTGAGTGATGGAGTTAGTATTGCAATACGAAACTCAAAAGGTGAGATTATTGGGGTGTGCTTAAATGGATTTTTACATCCTGGCGATATCTTGAAAGCAAAGGAGACTCTCGAGTCATGTCAAGATGAGAGATTTAAGAAAATATTTAATTTACTATACGACACAAACTTGAAAGTTGATTTGTTTGAGATATTAAAAGTGGATCGTATATTTGAGTATCGAATCTTATCTGTCGATAAAGCGTATCGTGGACAGGGCCTTGCCAAGAAATTAATTCAAAAGAGTGAAGATATGGCAAGGAAGTATCATTGCAAAGTTGTTAAAGGAGATGCTACAGCAGTTGGAAGCTTGAAAGTATGCCTTTCACTTGGATTAAAGCTTATTCATGAAGTTCCATATTCGGATATTGATTTAGATGTCGAACCTCCACACGAGAAACTAGCTATCCTCTATAAAGTTTTAGATGATGTGGATTAAATTGCTATTTTTAACTTTTTTGAGACATAAACAATCGAGTAATGATGCACAAATTTTTAATACAGTAAATTGACTGTATGCGACCCTTTTTGTATTTTTCCAATGATTAATTAATAATATTGTCGCCAAAACACATTTAAGCAGCATAGGTGCCTGCTGTTCATGTAAATGACTAACACTATTGCAAAATTCAATTTAATAGTGTTCGTTTGACGTGTATTTACGTGAAAAGCATAAATTTATGTTGCATTTTAGCATAAAATCTTGGGGGTTTGTTATAGCTATTTAAGAATGTGATGTTTAAGTGGACCAAAAATAATACAACATTAATAGTTTCGTCATGTTACTGGAAAATATATTCTAAATAAATGAGAACCATTTTCATTTACTCACCAAATTATTTCATTTTTATTTCACATTTGTTACAGGCAGTGGACATAAGTATTATTTTTGCTTATTCATCTTCTCGAATGATGACTCTTTCTTTTGCTGATAAATGTGGAATCGATCCTGGTTTTGAGTTTAATAAGGTGCGCGCAGTTCGTTTAGACGCACTTAATTTTTTTCAAATTTTCCTTTAATAAACACTATTAAGACAAAAACTATTTTATGTGTTTATAGCTATGACCAATTAGGTTATAAATATAATAAAAGTACCTGACTAAATGCTTTGCTTAAGTAATTAAAATAATTTTTTTCAAAAATTACAACAACAAAGTGCGCAGTTCGTTTAGACGCACTTTGAAAAATCTAAAATTTTGTCTTATTTACGTTTCGTAGAAAACTTAATCGTTTCTAATATTAATCTATCAACAAAAACGAGTAATTACTGAGGGTTTTAGAATTTTCCATCAAGTTTTTCCAGAGATTTTCCTTCATTAAAGTTTTCATGTTGCAAAAATTTTGATAAATTATTTATCCAATAATTTTGCGTTAAATTATTATTCTTTTAACTGATTTCCATAGATAATTGTCCATAATATTAGAAAATTAACAGATATTTAAGCTTTCTTCTAAGTATAAGGCGAAAATATGTGAAAAATATAATTATGGTGAAAAATTTCCACCACTCTCATAGATTAATCAACAAATTTTGACAAAACTGTAGATACCATAATAAATTTGAATAGACCAGCTTATTTATCGTATTAAACTTAGTTAAAAACAGAAAACTGCACAGCTCTATGGCTAATGGAACTTGAAAATTTTACTGAAAAATTAAGTTGTGGTGAAAAAATTCACCATAGAAAAATAAAATTTTAAAAAAACTATGTCTAAGGTTTTAATTTATGTTTTAAATTGATTAATTTTGAGACAGAAACACTTTTACAACCTAATTTAAATGAAACAATTGCCTAAAACAACGTTTTTTAAAATTTTATTTTTCTATGGTGAATTTTTTCACCACAACTTAATTTTTCAGTAAAATTTTCAAGTTCCATTAGCCATAGAGCTGTGCAGTTTTCTGTTTTTAACTAAGTTTAATACGATAAATAAGCTGGTCTATTCAAATTTATTATGGTATCTACAGTTTTGTCAAAATTTGTTGATTAATCTATGAGAGTGGTGGAAATTTTTCACCATAATTATATTTTTCACATATTTTCGCCTTATACTTAGAAGAAAGCTTAAATATCTGTTAATTTTCTAATATTATGGACAATTATCTATGGAAATCAGTTAAAAGAATAATAATTTAACGCAAAATTATTGGATAAATAATTTATCAAAATTTTTGCAACATGAAAACTTTAATGAAGGAAAATCTCTGGAAAAACTTGATGGAAAATTCTAAAACCCTCAGTAATTACTCGTTTTTGTTGATAGATTAATATTAGAAACGATTAAGTTTTCTACGAAACGTAAATAAGACAAAATTTTAGATTTTTCAAAGTGCGTCTAAACGAACTGCGCACTTTGTTGTTGTAATTTTTGAAAAAATTATTTTAATTACTTAAGCAAAGCATTTAGTCAGGTACTTTTATTATATTTATAACCTAATTGGTCATAGCTATAAACACATAAAATAGTTTTTGTCTTAATAGTGTTTATTAAAGGAAAATTTGAAAAAAATTAAGTGCGTCTAAACGAACTGCGCGCACCTTACACGATTCTTTTCTTTCCTTATTTCCTTCTCCTTTGCTGCCTTTAATAAATCTTGCTGTTTGTACACGTATCTTGGCACTTGACGATGCTTAGCTATTCTCTTTATTTGCGGATGTGCGCTATATTTCTGTTTCAATGCTTCATTGTATCGCATTGCATCCTTCTCTCTTGGTTTCAACTATTATGATGGATATAAAAAGGATATGTTATCAAGACATGAATAAAATAATAATTGTAGATCATTGAACTTACCGGTCCCAACTTCTCTGATGCATTCGCCTTCCAGATTCTGATGTTCATTTCGTCAGATCCACTGTAAATGTACTTATTATCTGAACTCCATGCTACTGCTGTAATGTGTTGCTGTCTCTTTGTATGATAAATTTCTCTCGAGTTTGTCTTCTCGACATCATAAATTCTTATTGTCTTATCGTAACTACCAGACACAAACTCTTTTCCAGTTGGAGCATAATCAACGCAAGTTACAGCAGCTACATGATTTTCGTGAATTTTTCTAGGAAGATTCAGGTTTCTTGTGTCGAATGTATAGGAACTGGATATAAGGTAAAATATTAGTTTAATGACATAAAGCTACAATAGATGTACTCACTTGTAATCCTCATTAGCCACAGTAAATGTGAATGCTTCCATCGGATTCCAAGCCAAGTAATTAGGTCTCATTGACATTACAACTTTTCTAAGAGGCTTTCCTTCTCGTCTATCATAAAGGATTATACTTCTCGATGATGTACATGCAGCAAGAAGATTATTTTCGACTAAATTGAACTGTATATGATGAATAGAGTCTGATCCCCATTGAAGTGACTTTAAAGGCTCATTTCTACTCTCTTCCCATAGCTGACACATTTCACCGCAAGTAGCAAATATCGGGTCTCGTCTGTGATGTGTAATTGATGTAAGGACAGTCTTTGAGAGAATTGTATTAATTGGAGCATTATCGTCTTCCTCATCATCCATATCGTATGTATTTGTTGTCCATACTTTTATAGCTTTATCATCACCAACACTAAGGAATCGATCGCCGTCCGTTGAAAATACAATTCCTCTAACAAATCCATCATGTGCATTAAGACTCTTCATACATTTTCTGGTCGGTAAGTTCCATACACATACATCACCATCAAAAGATCCAGTAACTAATGTCGAAAGTTGTGTTGGATGTTTTGCAATACAGGATATACCATCTTTATGTCCACTTAGATCTCCAATCAATGGCTTAGCAAACATTCGTTCTATTTTCGTTGCATTTAATGCTCTTACATATTCTCTCTGTTCCTCAAATGGATGTACCTCCTTACTATAATTTCTTGTCACTTTATGGAACTCTGTCTTTGTATCTCTGATGTAATCATCAGGATTACGACTCAATACCTTCACTTTCATACTTATTAATTAAAATAACTGTAATTTAACTGTATTTAATGTTATTTTAATTAATTTTTTATTCGATCACGATGTTTTGTTGATATTTTGAATATTCGGGGGAAGGAGCTACGACTTGTTGAACTCAAATTTTTATGAATCTACGCTTTAACACAGATTATAGTCACGACTTATGAACACATTTTATGAAGCTACGCTTTAACACAGCATAAAGTCATGGATACAGAAGATAAATTAGTTTTCATCGATACAGAAGCCACAAAGGAGGTTGGGACAGTTGAAAATAAAGAACTTAATGACTTAATAGCATATATCAAAAGCTCATTGTTTGAAATAGATCCTAATGAAGCTGAAAAGGAAAAAAAATTAAGTAAGTGACAAAAAATAAACATCCAGAATAAACATCCAGAATGATAATTTTAATTATTTTTAAAGGTCTTCCAAAAGGCATGAGTATAAAGGAAGCGTTAGATAAATGCCCAATTCAGGTAGAGTTTTTCAAGAAAAAATCAAAAGATGACAGCAAAAGGGAGGGGAAATTCAAAGATAAATTAATTAACTCACTGGATGATTACCTTGAAGATCTAAGGCCGAAGAATTACAAATTTATTACCGATGGAATCGAGACAAAGACAGACATATCAACATTGGGAATGTCTGAGAATCAGCTGAAGAAATTGAATAGAGTAAGTCGCTTCATAATCCTTAACATAATTAACACCAAAATAGCCATAATGATGAAAATAAGCAATCTGATGTCATTCATTTGATCTCATCGAATTTTCAGACTCGATCGGAATCGGTGCTACTCATTGAAATCTTACTTTACTAAAATTTAATTAGATATTATAGTCAAAGTGTAAGGCCAATGAGACATTAACTCTGCATGACTAAATCTTCTTTTTGGTATCTTATAAAAGTCTTTATATACGAAACTAGTCATGCTGTACATTCATTTTTGACAATAGCATAATTATGCTTCTGTCGAAGATTTTTTAACGGCATTAAACTGATTCTGAAGAAAATTTGATAAATTATCGATCGAGTGTTTGTAGATGACCTATCTTTAGTAATCTGATATTTATAGCTATAAGCTACTTAATAAATCTAGTTTGAGCGCATAACTTATGATTCCATGATATTTAACATTTCAGAAGGAACGCGAGAAGACTAAAGGAGCAAAATGGTTCAACATGAAGGCACCAGAAATGACAGAGGAACTAAAGAATGATCTAAGTATTCTTCAAATGAGATCAGCACTTGATCCAAAACATTTTTACAAGAGAAGTGAAATGAAAGCTTTGCCAAAGTACTTTGAGGTCGGACAAGTCATTGACTCACCTGTTGAATATCACAATTCTAAGGATGTTCGAAAGCGAAAACGGACGTTGGTCGATGAATTGATGGCAGATGCTGAGTTCCAGAAGTTTAATAAAAAGAAGTATCAGGAATATGCAGCAGAGAAACAGAAGCAGCCACACTTTAAGAAGCCAAAAAAGGCAAAGCCTGTAAAATAAATGATTATTAATAATCTAAATTTATTAATTTTTTTAATAATAAAATGAAATTTGATTTAAACAAGAATCAGACAAATTTTCACTAGCTTTCACATTTTCAGATAATGCTCTAATTAAGCTATACATAGTAAGTAATATAACATAAAATTAACGGTTTTTCGGTTTTTCAAAACTCAAATTGAAATAAAACAAAACAAAACAAAACTTTAATTTTAAATACCAACATCAAAAATGTCTCAATTCACGGAAGAGGAGATCGATAGAATTATCGACAATTGTGAGAGAATTACCCACGATGATGTAGAATCAATAGATGATACAGATAGGTTGCCTAAAATTGTAGAAATCAAACATATTCGACATCCAAAAATTGAAATACAGTCAAAAATTGTAAATGATGAGGAACAAGGTGATTCTGAAGAGTTCTTTGAGAGTTGCTTCCAAAAAACCAAGCAGAAAAAGATCAATAAGCAGGTAAAACACATCAGTTGACATAAATATCTAGCAAATAATAAATTATTTTTTTTTTTCTTCTAGGCTCCAGAAATTAACGACTTTTCGGGTATATTGACAATTAATGAGGAATCGGATGCAAAGCCGAATCTAGATGATGCTATTTTAGTTAATAACATATTGAGAAAGCGACTAGTTCAGTTCCGGAATAATATAGAGGCATCATTAAGTAAAATTGACTGTCGATTGGATTTCTTGGAAAAGTTCCTGCAAGATGCAAAATCCAATGATGTGAAGGATGCAATGACATTTAAAACGACCTATATAAGATGTGGACGACCATATTTTAAGGATGCATTGTATTATCCAGCACCAGAAAATGAAGACTTTAAATATCGAAAGAATGTATTGCAGGAATTCTTCCCATTTGACTTGCCGACCGCTTGCATTAAGTGGAGAACTAAGGAAAAAGTCTCGCTAGTCAATGGAATTAAGACTCAAATGATAAATCATATAAAGTTACAGCAGTCAAAGAAAATTTGTCAAGATTCCAAAAAGACGAGAGGAAAGATGCAAAAACTGCGATTTATATCCAACAATCAAGACTTGAATGACATGACAATCTCTAATATTTATGAAACCATTCAAAGTGATCATCCTGACTTCCAAATAAATTGGAACTTAATATCATTTAATGATCTTCAGAGTACACATTCAGTAACTGAATGTATGGGAATGTGGTATAGTTATTTAAAACCTGACATAAATCGAGATCCATTTAGTGATGAAGAAATCGCTATCATGTCACATTGGGCAACAGAATACAAGTATCAGAACTGGGAAGAAATTGCTCAGCAGCTTGACAGAAGAACTAGCTTACAAACTTTTAGTTTCTTCTCATCAGAATGCTCTCGTTTATGTCCTGCAAATGTTCGTTGGACTCCAGAAGAAGATGAGTTATTACTAGAGACAGTCAAGAAGTTTGAAAGAGCTAATGTTATTTTATGGAATAGGGTTGGATGTTTAGTTCCTAACAGAAATAAGACTCAATGCTATAATAGATACCTGATTTTAAATCAAAATGTTAATAGAAAGAAGGGAGTCTTTAGTGCCCAAGAGAATAGAATTTTGTTGAATTATGTTGCTAAGTACGGTGACGACTTGAGTAAGTTTCCTGAAGATTTACTTCCAAATCGCTCGATAATACAAATTAAGAATCACTATAATGTGGCACTAAAGCATAAAGGAAAAGTAAATCCATGGACACTTGAAGAGGATAAAAAACTGATGGAGTTTGTAAAGGATAAAGGCACAAATGATTGGAAGGGAATATCAGACATTCTTCAAACTCACAATCGACTTTCATGCCGAACTAGATACCTGACAATCTCTAAATTCCTTGCTAAAAATCCCGAATTGAGTATTGAGGATGTCCCATCGCGATTAAAAAAAGTCACAGCCGTTCATAAAGCTGTTAATAGTGAGGACGAAGATGATCCAGAAACTATGAAACCAACAAAGAATCGAAAAGTTGTAACACGATATAAATCCTTTGGTGTCTTAACATTCGAGGAATTCAAGATGAAAAATTTACAGCTCTACAATTTAATGAAGACTGCATATAACTACCAACTAGTTCCAAAAGAATTAAATCCTGACACGAATAATTTCCTTCTATTTAAATCTTTACTCGGCATTGAGCATTATGGATTGCAAAAGAAATTTGCTCTTTCATTCACTAACCAGCAATACAGCAAAATTAATGAGATTCTAGCATCAAAATTGGACAAGGAAATGGATAAAGAGATAACAAGAGTCAAAAAAGAATCAATTTTCATGGTTCCAGTGAATTATTACACAGCAGTCGGCCTACGTTCAGTGGCAATTAAAATCCATGAAGATACAATTGATACAGACGAGAAAACAGACACAAAACATAGTAAGAAGTACGATGAAGCATTAAAGAACTTCCAGCAATTATTCACGTCACTCTTTTACTGGCCAGCAATGCTATCAAAATTAAGCTTTAATGAATTGCAAAATTACAGGAATCTTCAAAATGTATCAGTTGCTCCGATAATGGAAGTGCTAGTAAAAAGACCAAACGACCAAAAAGTTTATTACGGAAGTAATCCACCAAAAAAGCAAAAGATAAAACAAGAAAGCCGTTAAAAAAATATTTGAATTAATACAATTAAAAAATAAAATGAACTGAACTGAATTGAACAAAACTGATTTCAATGGAACTTTTATAATGAACGGTCTTTTCATCGCAGATTCTGAAGGAGGAACAAGTTAAACGTTTTAAAGAAATTAATAAATAAGCATTAAAAACGTTAAATTAAGTTATGTTTTACTGAAAAACAGTTAATATAGATGCTTAGCAACTAAATGAAGATGAAGTAGATGGTAAGTTTAATTAATTTATCGTATAAAACTTAAATTTAAAAATCTTGGCATGTGGCTTCAGTTTTTCGGCTTTTGAAATTTTTCATTAAATTCTACTTCAGCCGTTTTTTGCACTATAGGTATCTACTGTCTCTAGATTAAACTAGTTTCCGTTCGTAACACTGGTGCAAAATTATTACTTAAATTTCAAAAATGATTCGAACCTCAAAAATTGCTTCGAATCTGTCAAACCTTAATGAAATTCGTACATTTCCTCGTTTTTACTATTTCTGAAGAAGGGCAATTCTCCGAGTGAAAAAAATGACAAAATTTCTTTATTCTATTAAAAAACTTTCAATATTAACGTTGTTACACATTTAAATCAATTAAAATTAAAGTTTTTAAGAGATCTAATATATTTTCTGGGTAGAGTACGTTGTTACTTAAATTTACTTATATATGGAATTTTTATATCTACTAGTTTAAGAATTATCGCAAAAATTGAAGTTTATCTACTAGATTTGACAAGAAAATTGAAGTGGATAATCCACCTTATTGAAATTTGCCGGTAATGTCTATCATTATGAACAAGACTTTGCGATAAATGGCTGTTTGAATTTACAAAAATAATGTACATTAATTTGTTAAATATTTCATTAAATGCTCATTTCTGATTTATGTCTTTAACCGAAAATGTTTGAATTCACAAATTTAACAAACATTTGGCTTCATACATAGCAGAAATGCTTTAATTAAGCTAAAACTTGTAAAAAACTGTATCGCTGCAAATTTTACATATTTTCGACCAGTGTTGCATTCTGGCTATTTGTCTGGATCAGATAAATTCTGAGACAGAAATTTCTTCATAAAGATCGATTCTATATGAAGATAGAAAATCTAATCTACACAAAGATTATTTCTTCATAAAGATTCTGTCTTTATAAAGATTCGATGTAGATGTCTACAATTCTACATTCTTCTCTGATGTAGACCTGGAAAAAATGTAGAATTGTAGACATCTACATCGAATCTTTATGTAGACAGATTCTTTATGTATTAATAATCTTTTTGTAGATTAGATTTTCTATCTTCATATAGAATCGATCTTTATGAAGAAAGTTTCTTATCTAGACAAAAACTATTGAAGAATCTACATTCTTCATCTAGTGTAGACATCTACATTTGCAACACTGTTTTCGACTAGGCTCAAAGCGCTTACAAAACTTTAAATTTAAACCGACCGTTGAAATTTCTTACTGTAATATTCTTCAAATATGAAAAAAAAACTTTTTCATGACTTATATTATCTTAAAACTTACAATTTGAGAACAAATAACGTCTACTCTTATCAATTCCATTTTGAGCAATTTTCTTGACTCGATATTTTTGAACTGCCTCTTGTTTTCTCTGTATAAATTGATTTACAATGCAAATTTCTGCAGTTCCCTTTACTCGGAGAATTACCCAGGATTTTAAGTCTAGTACAATTAGCTCAATATAATTATATTTATCAATTCTAGATAAACGAGTGAACAAAAAAATCTGAATAAAAATGTATCTGTACAATTTGACACTTCAACGTGCGACTGGCATCACAACAGCCATTCATGGAAATTTCTCAGGCTCAAAAATACAGGAGATACTCATTTCGCATGGGAAAAGCTTGGAACTACTAAGACCTGATCCGAATACAGGAAAAGTCCATACATTGTTGCAAACTGAAATATTTGGCGTTATTCGCTCAATGGTCGCTTTTCGTCTAACTGGATCAACAAAAGGTTCGTTAACTTATCAAATTAGTATTATTAATTAGCACAACTCTTTTACTTGATATTAGAAACCCTCAATATCTCGTAAACTCTAGTGCGATATTATGATTTTTAAAAAAATGGCTTTGCGTCGCTTTTGAAGTACTACGTTATATTAATCTGTATTTCATATTGAACACCCTAGCTACAATCCTTATTATTATATACTGTTTATTACTATTTAAAATGTCTAACATTAGTTTCCTATGTGTAAATTGCAGATTATGCTATTGTTGGATCAGATTCGGGAAGAATCTTAATTGTGGAATATAATCCGAGTAAAAATCAGCTTGTTAAGGTACAATTAGAGACTTTTGGAAAGTCGGGATGTCGTCGAATTGTACCTGGACAATATTTGGCAGTAGATCCAAAAGGTCGTGCCGTAATGATTGGAGCAATCGAGAAGCAAAAACTAGTTTTCATATTAAACAGAGATTCCGAAAATCATTTAACCATTTCATCGCCATTGGAAGCACATAAATCGAATACACTCTGTTATCATATGGTCGGAATTGATAACAATTTTGATAATCCAATGTTTGCGTGCTTAGAAATAGATTATTCTGATATTGATACTGATCCGACTGGCGAATCAGCTGCAAGAGCTAAACAAATCATTACATTCTATGAACTGGATCTTGGATTAAATCATGTTGTAAGAAAGTATCATGAGGAACTTGATGAACATGCAAATTTCTTAATAAGCGTCCCCGGTGGAAGTGACGGTCCATCGGGTGTTCTTATTTGCTCTGAAAATTATGTGACTTACAAAAATACAGGAGCTCAAGCTGATATTCGATGTCCAATTCCACGTAGACGTAACGATTTGGATGATCCAGAAAGAGGAATGATTTTTATATGCTCAGCAACTCATCGTACAAAATCAATGTTTTTCTTCTTGCTACAAACTGAACAAGGCGATATCTTTAAAGTAACATTAGATATGAATGAGGAAGCTGTATCTGCGATCAAATTAAAATATTTCGATACAGTTCCGCCAGCAATTTCTATGTCTGTTTTAAAGTCTGGATTTCTATTTGTTGCTTGTGAATTTGGTAATCATTATTTGTATCAAATTGCTCATTTGGGTGACGATGAAGAAGAACCAGAATTTAGCAGTGCAATGCCTTTAGAAGAAGGAGATACATTCTTCTTTGCTCCACGCCCACTCAAAAATCTCGTTATGGTCGATGAAATTCCATCTTATGCACCAATTCTTGGAAGTACAGTTGCTGATTTAGCAAATGAAGATACACCGCAATTGTATTTAGCTTGTGGACGAGGACCTCGATCATCATTAAGAGTTTTACGTCATGGATTGGAAGTATCAGAGATGGCTGTATCAGAATTGCCTGGAATTCCGCTATCAGTTTGGTCTATAAAGAAGAGAATAGACGGTTAGTACAGACTTAAAATTGTTAAATTAAAGTAGATTTTTAAGATTCAATTTGAGTGAGAACTTGAATAATTAAGAGAAACTGGTGCTTTTGGATGATTTACTTTTATTAAATCAGAAACAGATACGATTATTTTACGAATGAATTTGAATCACCAACACCAGTTTTCTTATCTTTCAGGTGACATGACTATAAAATGATTCTTTCTGGAAATAGAGTTTGAGTTTCTCGGAAGGTAGGTTCAAATCCATCATCACTTGCGAGACAGTTTTGACTATGCTGCGCGCCGAATCTTTAATTACTAGAACTACTATTTTTATTAAAGAAAATTCTTAGTTCCTTGATTAAGGACATTGTTATTCTACTAAACTTTTCTCGATTATTTATCATTACAGATGAATTTGATGCATACATTATTGTATCTTTCGTCAATGCCACACTTGTCTTGTCCATTGGTGATACTGTTGAGGAAGTAACAGATAGTGGTTTTCTTGGAACGACTCCTACAATTTGTTGCGCTGCTTTGGGTGATGATGCTTTAGTCCAAATCTATCCTGACGGTATAAGACATATTCGAGCAGACAGAAGAGTCAACGAGTGGAAGGCACCAAATAAGAAAACTATCATTCGGTGTGCTGTCAATCAACGTCAAGTTGTCATTGCTCTTTCTGGCGGAGATCTTGTCTATTTTGAAATGGATCCTGTAAGTTACAAAAATATCTTTGAAATTTAAGATCAGTAGAATGGCATTTTAAGTCAATTTTGTAACGACTTTTAAAAATTCAAGATTTAAAAGGGTTTTGAAAATTAAAATTTCCAAAATACGTTAATAACGTTGTTATATAATGCCTTCACTGATCTTAAATTAATTAAATTTTCATAATGATGAACACCATTTAAGGCGGAATCAATCTTTGAAGATAGAAAAAGGTGTCCTGCAGTTCTGATCATTTAACACCCATTAAACAATATTAAATAACGAAACAAACAATTTACTAGCAACAACCAATTTACATTTACAGACTGGACAATTGAACGAGTTTACAGAACGAAGAAAGATGATGGCTGATATACTCTGTATGTCATTGGCATCAATTAAACCTGGTGAATTACAATCTGCATTTTTGGCTGTTGGATTAGCTGATAATACAGTTCGAGTTATTTCACTTCAACGGCAAGATTGTCTACAGCCACGAAGTATGCAAGCCTTACCAACAGCTCCAGAGTCTTTATGCTTAGTTGAAATGGGTATTGGAGAAGCTGAAGAAGGAGAAGATTTATTGATGCGTAAAGGAGCAATTGAGAAAGGTTCTCTTTATCTGAATATTGGATTGCATAATGGAGTATTATTAAGAACTGTTTTGGATCCAACATCTGGTGATCTTACCGACACAAGAACTCGATATTTAGGTTCACGACCAGTTAAATTATTTAGAATAAAAGTTCAAGGAACTGAAGCAGTACTTGCAATGTCATCAAGAACATGGTTAAGTTATTATTATCAAAATCGATTCCATTTAACGCCATTAAGTTATGAGACATTAGAATATGCATCTGGATTTTCGTCTGAACAATGTTCCGAAGGTATTGTCGCTATATCCACAAATACATTGAGAATTTTAGCACTAGAAAAATTGGGTGCAGTTTTCAATCAAATTTCATTTCCTCTTGAATATACGCCCAAACGATTTGTCGTACATAACGAATCGTCGAGATTAATTATAAGCGAGACTGATCATAATGCATACACAGAAGCAACAAAGAATCTAAGAAAACGTCAAATGGCTGAAGAAATGATTGAGGCAGCAGGCGAAAATGAACAGGAATTAGCACAAGAACTTGCTGATGCATTTATAAGCGAAGTATTGCCTGAAGATACATTCTCGTCACCAAAAGCTGGCTATGGAATGTGGGCATCACAAATTAGAATTATGGATCCAGTTAAAGGTCAGACATTATTTAAAGTTCCACTTGAACAAAATGAAGCAATTATGTCGATGTGCTTAGTCAAATTTGTTACTGATGGAAAGAACTATTTAGCATGTGGTGTCGTTAAGGACATGCAACTTAATCCAAGACAAATTGGATGTGGATATATTGATCTTTATCGTGTCGATAATCAATGTGCAACATTAAATCTCATTCATAGAACTGAAGTTGAGGATATTCCATCTGCGATGTGTCCATTTCAAGGCCGATTGCTGGTTGGCGTCGGTAAAGTTTTAAGAATTTATGATTTAGGCAAGAAAAAGTTGTTGAGAAAGTGTGAGAATAAACATATCCCGAATCAAATTGTTAATCTACAGACGAAAGGTCAACGAATCTTTTGTTCGGATGTCCAAGAAAGCGTTTATTGTATCCGATATAAAAGAAATGAGAATCAAATGATAATTTTTGCTGATGATACATTCCCTCGATGGATTACATGTACAGCAATGCTTGATTATGATACAGTCGCAACAGGTGATAAGTTTGGAAACTTGGCAATTTTAAGATTACCGCATTCAATTAATGATGATGTTGATGAAGATCCTACAGCTACAAAATCACTATGGGATCGTGGATTATTAAATGGAGCATCTCAAAAGGCTGAAAATATCATCACATTCCATATTGGTGAGATTCCTATGTCATTACAACGATCTATGTTAATTCCCGGCGGTCCCGAGCTGCTTATTTATACAACATTAAGTGGAACAATTGGAGCTTTAGTTCCGTTTACTAGTCGAGAAGATTTTGATTTCTTCCAACATTTAGAGATGCACATGAGGAATGAGAATCCACCACTTTGTGGACGTGATCATTTAAGCTATCGATGCTACTATTATCCTGTGAAAAATGTCATTGATGGAGATCTATGTGAACAATTTACATCGTTGGATCCAGTCAAGCAAAAAAGTATTGCTTCAGATTTAAGTCGCTCAACAACGGAAGTAGCTAAGAAGTTGGAAGACATCCGAACACGATATGCGTTTTAAATTTTCATCATCACAATAATTTAGGCTTAATAAGGTATGTTTTATGCTTCATATTTATATTAAACTTGTGATTTATGCTTATAATGATGATAAGGTAAACAACCTAAGACCTTTGGACACCTATAAGAATTAACATTGGTTATACCTTGTTGCTGACAACTTTCGTTAAAAATTCCTTCATGTCCTTTATTGTTGATTATTTGGAACTAATTGAATATTCCTTTTATCTTTACAGATGTACAAAGACTTGTTTGGTATTTCCTTTCTTAATGTAAGTATTTTAACTTAAATAGCTATGCTGTAATATTATTTCTCTATGATGTTATTTCTGTAATCCGTGTTTCATATGAATTTTCTATTGATTTTACTCATTTACAAACTGATCAATTTTCAATAACTTCATAGTTTCAACATTTATGCTTTGACAGCTTTACTAATCTCATTCCTTCATTTTAATTTCCTATTTACAGTTGAGAAGCAAGAGATTTTTGCGAAACATCAATTTATATGAATATTATGGACGTGTAAAAATATTAATTAAGCATTCAAATAAACAATAAATACCTAATAAAACGATTTAGCATAGTTTTGTTATTTTTAGATGTGTAAATGTTTTTCAGAGTTTTGATTTCAGATTTTATTACGTCCATAAGCGATTGTGTGAATTTTCTCACAATTTATCAGGGGTCGTCTATTTGTTATGTCAAATTTTTAGCGGAAGTAAAGTAGTAGAGATCACAATCTAGTTTAGGTCTAATTCATGACCAATAAACATCATTTTGAAAATAACTGTCATGAAATATATGAAATTTAACGAGTATTTCACTAATTCAAATCTGTTGAAACCGGTAAATACCAATGAATTTGTTAACATCTGGATGTCATTTGTGAACGAGTCCTTAGATTATGAAGACATCAACAGACAAATTTTTGCAAGTCAATACAAACGATTTATAACGTTATAGAACGAGAAGTTTTTTTTTGCATAAATAAGACATCAATTGATTCTCATAAAGCAGTAAATGAAAGGCCCTTAAAGTTAGTTGTTGTCTACATCAATTTATTACAATAAACACGAGGTGTGTCGTCTTCCCGTTTTTCTTGTGTGATATATTTGAAAATCAATGTATTCACAAAAAAATAAAGAATAATAGAGCTATGTGAGTAAGCATTAACTTTCCGTGCGTCAACAACAATATTCTTCAAGACAGTTTTGGAAAAGGCAATGTATATGATATTTAAATGAGGAACTGAAATGAATTAATTTGTATTCAGCTGCACATTGTCAATATAATGAAATAATATTTGCAAGCAGCGTAGAAAATCGTGAATTTACATGCATAAATACAATTTCCTCATTTTAATAGCGTTTCTATGTCTTTGCCAGACATTATGAGTTCAACACCTGATGAGATTAGACATTCTATCTATCCCAATTCTTTTAAATCATCGTCCATAAAAAGAAGCTGAATTGGATCATTAAAATGTACACAATCTCACTTAGTGTCAAATAAAAGTCGACTTTTTTATATTTTTGTGTGAACTCAAAAGATGCTGATGCCTGCATTTTAGCTGCCTATCTACACTTATTCTCCTCTTACTTAAAATCCGTTACAAAAATTTTTCGTTAAAGTTTTTGATTTTCGTTAAGGTTTTCAAATATTTTTCGACAGTTAATTTTCAAATATTTTTTGACCGTTATTTTTCAAATATTTTTTGACCGTTATTTTTCAAATTAAAAATGAACTTTTTTTGTTAATATTTGTTCTAGACATCCTATTCTTCACAAAGAAAATGCGCCTTTGCTTCGGTAACCACGTCAATACTTTAGATTAAGTTTGAATTGCTCATATTTCAATTCTAATCAAATGGCAGAGAAAGGGGGAGATGAAATCGACTCATTAGTGACAATACGATGCTGTGTTGCTATGCACGTGCTGGTTATTATTTTACATTCATATATTTTATTTATTCTAAGATTACAAAGAGATTTCTCATTTCGATGTCTATTTTTTTCCATGATACGAGTCAATAATTTTTTACGGATGCATAAAATGCGAGGGTGATTTTCCATCTACTTCCTCTATTAATTTTTCTATGGTGAATTAAGCTACATTGCTACATAAGAATCAAGCATATTTATTCTGATGTTCATGCTCGTCTTATCATTGTAATTTCAAGGATTAAATATTTTTCTCTTTGTCCCTTTATTGCTGCTATGTACAGCACCCAAACATAGCAAAAAAAAAACAAGAAAAATCAATAAATGGAGATTCCATTTTTAATGTTATGAAAACGGTATCCACTTGCAGTGACTATTTTCAGCGCATAATCAACGCGCATGTCTACATGATACACCATTTTCCGTTTTATGCTTGAGGGAGCAGTGTGGGGTTGTAGCGAATAAATTTCCTCACATCTGTGACTTTTCCGACACGTATCCTTGACGACGAGCTCAGATGGATCATCGATTTTTCATTTGCGAGCACATTAAAGCGGATGTCTCGTTTTGGTAGGGAAAAGAATTTTTTTTTTCATTTTGCGTCGAATTTTTGTATCTAGACCGATTGAACTTTTAGCTCAATGCAAATATAATTCCAATTAGTTCATGTCTATAAATCTATTTTTTGCACCTTTAAAAAACATGTCAGACATGAAAGTCGTGTCATTGTAATTGACTATTTTTTTTGTGAATATCATTAATGACTGCTTAGAGTAGCAAGTGTGAATCAAGCAATGTGCCCATCATTCATCATTTCGTTACTTTTCAGTCAAGAATGTTAATAATAGAAAGAAAATGTCTTTTCGAATAAGTTACAAGACTTAGATTTCAAAGTGTGTCTTTCATTTTTTTAATCGTTTTTAAGAGATCTAATGCTGTATCAAAAGATTAATGAAGTTGTAGGATAAGGTCTGTTTAAGTTTGTCGCTTGAAATTACATGATACATTTGATTGGTAATTAAACTGCTGTAAACTGTTCGTATTCCTTGAGAATTTTGATATTTGTGATGTTTGTAGAAGTTGTATTTAGTTCCATGTCTTGAGGATATTATTGCTTTCCTTAAATTTTAACAAGATTCTATACACAAACTCATTTTTATTCTCTAATATTAGGCTTTGACAGGAAAATCACGATTGTAACTAATCATAAGCAGTTGAGTACCTATATAGGTAATTGGCAAAATGTTTGGACCGAATTTGTTGTGCGAACTTAAAAGTCGTCGGTTCAAATTCTGTTATTTTGAAATTTGTGCATTTTCAGAAGTTTGAATCCGTTGACTGTTTAAAGTACAAGATAAAGTCGAAATTGGAGCTCAGGAATTGATAATTAGGATAGAAACTTGAAGTTAAGCATGATAAATCGTAACGAGAGCTTTAAGATAATCTTATAAATCGATAATTGATTGAACAAATTTAAAAGTACTTTATGATCAAGGCGTATCCCATATATTCCAAAAATGTTCAAAATAATCCCTGAGCCTGTATGCATTAGAATTGAGACATCCTGAAATTACACGTCCAATACACTAAGGATACGTTGGGATATCTTTATTATCGTGCATACATGCTTAGGAATTTTTTGAATATTTTTGGGATATGTGGGATAAATATGATTTTTGGGATAGTTTCCACGCCTTGTTTATGGTTATGGAAGATCGAAATTAGAGTCTAATTTATTCGAAATTTATATTTGAAATTGTTGTATTAATTCTAGATTTATAATATGAAATGTATTACTAACAGGGATTGAAACTTTACTGATACTCAATACTCGAATAACAAAGAATCGATCAAGTTTAAAAGGCTGATTCCTACACTCATAGAAAAAAAGTAACCATAATATTTGTTATATGTTTGTTAAACTAGTTTAACAAATTATTGGTTAAGTTTACATGGGTAAAAAAAATTTCAACCAAACTATTTGTTAAAAATTTTACAATTGAGTTTGTTAAATCAACAAATTTATTTGTTAATAATTGATTTAATTAAATTTTAATTTTTGTATTCAAAACTCTTGTTTGATTAATTTCAAACGATTCCCATTAATTTATTGCGTTATTTTTAATGAGAAAACTGCTTTAAATTGAATTTTGTTGATTTTGTTTAACAAATTAATTTGTTAATTTTAACAAAACATTTGTTACAATGTTTTTATTTGTAATTTGTTTTGGAAAATAATGATTTACAAACCAAATCGTAATTTAAAAATTAAATTTGTTCATTTTTTTAAGTCCTACATTTCTATTTTATTATTCATAAATTAATTTTAAAATTTGGATATATTTTTTAAAGAATTATTTATATTGGTTCTGAATCAAATTTTATAAGTAAAAGTTTACAAGCAGCGGACTAGCGGATCATCAACAGGAATTCAGAAGTTAAGCAACCACGGAAACATTTTAAAACAAGATGGGTGACCAAATTAACAATTTTCTGGTTAATATTAACCGAAAATTTGTTATTTTTTTCTGTAAAAAAAAATTTTAACAAAAAGTTTGTTAAATTAACAATTTTTATAGTTAACAATTCAACCTTACAAATAATTTGGTTAAATTTAACAAATAAGTTCGTAAACACTATTTTAACGAATTGTTTGTTAACATTTTCCATACAAGTTACAAACATTTTGTTACTTTTTTTCTATGAGTGTAAAATACAAATTACTTGCTTCTCTTAACCTGCTTTATTGCTAAAATTTCGAGAATCGTTTGCTAAAGAGTCATTCACTAATTCCGTCCAAATTATGGAAGGGCTGTAAAGTTCTGATAAATATCTTGTTCTTTTTAGAGATGCCTTAAAGTTTTGACAAATTTGATGATTTTTGCCCTAAACTAGTCGTTCCCCTTAAAAAAAACTAAGATTCAAACTGAACATAACCTTACTTCAAAGAATTCAATCAATTCAGTTGTAATTAATTCAAGAACTAACCATATTACTCCTTAGTGTTAAACTATGCCAACCCAAACAGCCTACAAAGCAAGAATCAACCAACAGCAGTGAACTGAATATGATTATAAAGTAAAAGTAAATTTATTCCCAGATGTTCAAGCATGTATCACTAAAATATTCCATAAATTCGACGCATAATTACATGGAGAAAGGTATGAAAGCCATCAAGCAAGACTACACTCAAGCATAGGCAGAAAATTCCCAGAATTTAAAAAAAAGTTTTTCTTCCTGTGAAGTAAGAAATTTTTCATTTTACATCTCGGTATGAGACGTACAGTAGCGTGCAAAAGTGAGTGGACAGAACAAATTTTGTAATAATTTCGTTCAAAAAGTATCTTCCACTAAACGAAATCACTTCAAACTTGTACAGCATATCTAATTTTTGATGAGATTTCATATGCAAAACAAATTTTGTACTATAATTAAGTAATTTGAAAAAACCGTTAAATATTCAAAATCGATAACGTGCAAAAGTGTGTGGACAATTTTCAATGACAAAAAAATGTGTGTATAAGTATGTATGTTATAGTAACATTTTAAGACGGAAATCTAAAGTTTTAACGATTTTCTTAATTTATGTTCAAAAATATTCCACCAAAACCACGTGTTTTCTCGATTTTTCTTAAATTCAAAATGGCTACTATTTTTCATCACTTTTAAGCAAATATGTCATATAATTCAATCTTAATTAACTTAGACTTAACTGATTTATATAGTATTTTTAATAAGCTTTCAGAATATATATAGTTTATTATAGTAAAAGTTGATATTTTGCAAAAAAAATTATAGAAATATTATTTTCACTGTCGATTTTCTCACAGTACAGAACATTAAATTGAGGAAATCTTGATAAATCCTTTGAATATATAAGACTTTTTGGTATTAATTTATTGCATTTTATTTGTCCAACATTATATAAGTAATTTCAGTTTGCTTAAAAAATTATCCATCAAGTAACAAGCTGTCAAATAGTATGTCAATTGAGCTTCTCAAATAATGAAAAATGAATTTTTGAAAAATTTGTTTAAAATGAATGTCTGTTGCAGAAAGTAAATTTTAAATGTTAAATCTTAACATAATTATGCGTTACGAATCAAAACGTTTAAAGTTTTCAAGACAGAAAGTTAATTTTTCAAAAATTTATTTTTCATTATTTGAGAAGCTCAATTGACATACTATTTGACAGCTTGTTACTTGATGGATAATTTTTTAAGCAAACTGAAATTACTTTTATAATATTGTACAAATAAAATGCAATAAGTTCATACCAAAAAGTCTTATATATTCAAAGTATTTATTAAGATTTCCTCAATTTAATGTTCTGTACTGTGAGAAAATCGACAGTGAAAATAATATTTCTATAATTTTTTTTGCAAAATATCAACTTTTACTATAATAAACTATATATAGTCTGAAAGCTTATTAAAAATACTATATAAATCAGTTAAGTCTAAGTTAATTAAGATTGAATTATATGACATATTTGCTTAAAAGTGATGAAAAATAGTAGCCATTTTGAATTTAAGAAAATCGAGAAAACACGTGGTTTTGGTGGAAAATTTTTGAACATAAATTAAGAAAATCGTTAAAACTTTAGATTTCCTTCTTAAAAAGTTACCATAACATATTTATTAACACATTTTTTTGTCATTGAAAATTGTCCACACACGTCACGTTATCGATTTTGAATATTTAACGGTTTTTTCAAATTACTTAATTATAGTACAAAATTTGTTTTGCATATGAAATCTCATCAAAAATTAAATATGCTGTGAAAATTTGAAGTGATTTCGTTTAGTGGAAGATACTTTTTGAACGAAATTATTAAAAAATTTGTTCTGTCCACTCACTTTTGAACGCTACTGTATCATCTCATGATGATCATATGAGGCATGTGGTGAAAAAGTTCACCTCCCTGCGTCATTCAAATTGTTATGTGTTTTTTTAATTTTCCATTTGACAATTTTCATCATCTCGCCCTGATATTTTTAGTTGTCTCTTACTTATGAAGGCAATTGCCACAAGATGTGTATGTCTTATGTCTAACAATCTTCTTCTATTTATAATAATTACATCTGGATAGCAGATCATCATCTTTCATCGTCATCTTTTAGAAGTTCACAGTGGAGAGCCTACATGAGCTAATTCAATTACACACTATCATTGTCTCAGCCACATATGCAGCAACTGCACAATACACATAAAATCGCATTATTGGACTCACGACGAGACAAACATAAATTTTCCATATTAAACTTCCGTTCTTTTTTTTTCTTTTTCTTTTCTAGTCGACAACCCAAAAATATATGCAGCATAAAAAAATGTGTTCCTAACATGAAAACGGAAAATCCGGTTTGTTGCAAGCAGCTTTTTTTTTTATTTTGAATTTTAATGAATTACACACAAAAAAAAATCGAATCTTAATCACGTGCACTTTAAAAAAAAGGGGGAATGACGTCATTGACATCGCCAGCACTAAGGAAACTAAACTGTAGACTATGGAATTTAATTAAAATGCATTATACTTCTAAATCCATACACTGCACGTGTCTTCCTTTGAGTTATTTTTATGGAAAATTTATGAAATATTTTTGTCGTGTACTCAATTTTTGAGGAAGTGGCAGTTTGTGGAAGCTTGGTTTGAAGCGCATTGATATGCATCAGGAAAAAAAACCATGGAACAGCTTCTAAGTCATCGATAATTGATGTATTAAGAGGAGTTAATAAAACTTAACTGGAACTATGCAAGATACCTATTGTAGCTCTAGAATCCGGCCCTTGATTTTTGTGGGGGATTTTTTGTGTTGAAAAAATGAGGTTTGGGGTGTAGATTAAGATGTTTGTCGAATAAGAGTTTAAAATCCTTATGCCCCTCCTTACAATGCATCTAATGTCTGTTAATTTTATGAACCATTCAAGGAACCAGAATTGGAACAAGACCGATCTCACCAAAAGTATAGCATCACTCTTGTTAGTCTCTAGACTTCTTAAAAAATGCAAACCCTATTTTCTTTTTTTAAAGCAATTGTGTGAACAATAATGACTATTTAGGCCTTATTAGCATGCATAACAGTTTGGCAGATGTTATCCTAGACTTGACTTACGTTGTCAAATTGCAGCTATTCCTCAAACAACAATGACGCAAAAATATGAAGAATAAAATGTCCCAATCATCCAATTTTCAACATTAGCTATAGAAATGTTAATAAATTCAAAAGCTTGACATATAATAATGCAGCACATACCAAAGAAAATCAAGATAAAAGCATTACATACCCAAAGACTCGCACAATATGACCAATTGAATGTAAGTAGAAAATTTTTCTTTCATTGTTTTTCTTTCATTATAAATCGGTTGCTGGGCGTTCTGTGTATTCAACTGTTATTGTTGTCTTTTTTTTTTATTTTTAATTTGAATTCTACGAATGCGGGAGTTCATATTTTATTAAAATCATGCACACGATCAGCACACGACCATTAAATTTTTTCCATCATTATTATGGTTTTTTCCGTGCATATTCTACATCGATCTAATAAGAATTGGTAGCTCAATAGTTCAATTTGTTTAATGAGTATGTTGCATTTCATTAAGGATATAGTCATGACACGTGGCACTATAGTCGATGAATTTTGTTCATTAAAGACGCATTACGCACATACAGATAGGTTAAAGAGCTTGATATAAACATCAATTTATATTGATTCATTTCGTAGTCTTTGAGGAACTTAGGCATAGCTTCCCACGTCTACGCCACCCTCTTCTTGCTCCGACCCTGTTAAAGACACTCAGTTTCTTAAATGCAAGTCAGTTTTGATTAGTTTTGCCTGCCTGAAGAGTCTGCGTATATATAGAATTAAAATTGTCGCAGCTGAAATAACTCATTTGATGCATTTGTCTCCTACTTGATTCAGACATTTTTTCCTTCCTTTACTTTGCTGCCAGTAAGTCACACACGTGTTTATCACAAATTTTCCTAAGCTGCTATTTATGCTCTATATTATAATATATTTTATGTTCTGTACATTGTTCACCTCTATTTTTAACCATTAATTCTCTCACACAGGCTGTTCAGCTGAATTTACCCTCGCGATCAAACATCTTTGCCATCAATTTTTCAGCTCGTCCATCACTCGACAATGATGAGACTATAGTCTCATCTTTCAGATATGCTTAAGGAAAAACATTTTCGTGTTTAAAAGAACACATGTTTCTGTTCTATTTGGTTAGGCATGATATAAATTCACTTAATTATCATCTTTACTATTTTCTACTTTTTTTTATTTCTGTGACTTTTCACATCTTTTTCTATTGTTTTATGTGTCATGATAAAGAAAATATATTTTTGAAGTGAATTTAGTATCTGCGATAGCTTTTTTTGATAAATTTGGAACAGTTGACGATATGACAACAAATATTCAGACTGAATGAAAAGAAGAACATTTAAAGGAATGGCATCTATGAGGGTTTAACAGCCTAATTACACGGTGAATCTATTGAAACATCTAGAAGGAAGAAGCAAACTTCTAGATGACAAAACCACAGAAAAAAGTATGACTCCGAATAACGGATCCCGAGCGAGACTCGAACACACGTCCTACTATTTTCGGTCGCATGCTCCTACCACTAAAATATCGGGGGTTAGACGATCATATGGCTAAATCCCATACATAAGTTACACTCTTTTTAGTGTTCCCTTGCACCACATGATTTTTCGTTGACTGACTATTACATGGAATCGAATATTCCAACAGTTTCTTGTGTTTTAATCTTAAACTTCATTGATATCATTGATGATTCAGAGAGCAGCACACTTTTATGTGCCATGAGATGCTTCATAAGGCCACATAAGGCAACCAATGCATAGTTCAAGACAAAATTCATTATTCCAATTTTTATATTCTTTCCCTCTTAAATGAACGAATTTTAATATTTTAACCATCAATAAGAAACCTTTAAAGTAAGATTTTTAACGTAAAGCACAAACATATGAGTTAATTCTTCAAATCATGTGCTAAATATGAGCTCATTAGTTTCATAATGGATGACTATAGTCAAGCTTTTGTATACAATGGGCCCCGACGAAAAAAAATTATTCGTGAGTGACGCTTTAAAATCTTAAATATCACCGAAACCACAATAGTGACAAATTTCAAAGTTATTTTATCTAGTAGGAAACAAAAATTTCTATCTTTTGACATACAACTTACTTCCTAAAGTTAAGCAGTTATGTCGAAAAATCACTTTAACTAAGCGTCACTCACGAATAATTTTTGGGAATTTTGCCATAACTTTGTCAGTTTTCATTGATATATCTTCAAATGTATTTTTTTAGATCAGAAATTTTATTCTCTTTTGTTTGGTTTCAGAAAAAGTAATAAATTGTCCCAGAAACATACTTAAATGAACAAAATTAAGTTAAAAAAATTTTAACGGTTTTAAAGTTTTTAAATTTTTTCTGTCGTAAGTTGTTTGTTTACAAACAAAAATTAAAATGAAATTTAAAAAATCATGAAAATATCACTCAATAATGATGTTAAAGCTCTTATAATAGGCAGAATAGCTAATGTATCATCTAAGGTGCGCGCAGTTCGTTTAGACGCACTTAATTTTTTTCAAATTTTCCTTTAATAAACACTATTAAGACAAAAACTATTTTATGTGTTTATAGCTATGACCAATTAGGTTATAAATATAATAAAAGTACCTGACTAAATGCTTTGCTTAAGTAATTAAAATAATTTTTTCAAAAATTACAACAACAAAGTGCGCAGTTCGTTTAGACGCACTTTGAAAAATCTAAAATTTTGTCTTATTTACGTTTCGTAGAAAACTTAATCGTTTCTAATATTAATCTATCAACAAAAACGAGTAATTACTGAGGGTTTTAGAATTTTCCATCAAGTTTTTCCAGAGATTTTCCTTCATTAAAGTTTTCATGTTGCAAAAATTTTGATAAATTATTTATCCAATAATTTTGCGTTAAATTATTATTCTTTTAACTGATTTCCATAGATAATTGTCCATAATATTAGAAAATTAACAGATATTTAAGCTTTCTTCTAAGTATAAGGCGAAAATATGTGAAAAATATAATTATGGTGAAAAATTTCCACCACTCTCATAGATTAATCAACAAATTTTGACAAAACTGTAGATACCATAATAAATTTGAATAGACCAGCTTATTTATCGTATTAAACTTAGTTAAAAACAGAAAACTGCACAGCTCTATGGCTAATGGAACTTGAAAATTTTACTGAAAAATTAAGTTGTGGTGAAAAAATTCACCATAGAAAAATAAAATTTTAAAAAAACTATGTCTAAGGTTTTAATTCATGTTTTAAATTGATTAATTTTGAGACAGAAACACTTTTACAACCTAATTTAAATGAAACAATTGCCTAAAACAACGTTTTTTAAAATTTTATTTTTCTATGGTGAATTTTTTCACCACAACTTAATTTTTCAGTAAAATTTTCAAGTTCCATTAGCCATAGAGCTGTGCAGTTTTCTGTTTTTAACTAAGTTTAATACGATAAATAAGCTGGTCTATTCAAATTTATTATGGTATCTACAGTTTTGTCAAAATTTGTTGATTAATCTATGAGAGTGGTGGAAATTTTTCACCATAATTATATTTTTCACATATTTTCGCCTTATACTTATAAGAAAGCTTAAATATCTGTTAATTTTCTAATATTATGGACAATTATCTATGGAAATCAGTTAAAAGAATAATAATTTAACGCAAAATTATTGGATAAATAATTTATCAAAATTTTTGCAACATGAAAACTTTAATGAAGGAAAATCTCTGGAAAAACTTGATGGAAAATTCTAAAACCCTCAGTAATTACTCGTTTTTGTTGATAGATTAATATTAGAAACGATTAAGTTTTCTACGAAACGTAAATAAGACAAAATTTTAGATTTTTCAAAGTGCGTCTAAACGAACTGCGCACTTTGTTGTTGTAATTTTTGAAAAAATTATTTTAATTACTTAAGCAAAGCATTTAGTCAGGTACTTTTATTATATTTATAACCTAATTGGTCATAGCTATAAACACATAAAATAGTTTTTGTCTTAATAGTGTTTATTAAAGGAAAATTTGAAAAAAATTAAGTGCGTCTAAACGAACTGCGCGCACCTTACTTTTCGTAATCATATCATAATATTTGGGAATAATGGTTGAATAATTAAGATATTTGAGAATTTAATTTTTGATGTTTTGTAAGATAGTGTTAGTGAATTTCAAATTTAATTTTTCCGTTGAGCAATAATACTTAAAAAATCGTCGAGGCCCCAATTATTCAACCTTGTGTAGCTATAGAAATATTTCTTACAAATTATCGGGTCAGAATATTAAACGTAATCAATTTAAAATAACCAGCGTCACAAGCATTATGACACAATAATTTATTCTACTTAGTCAGAACTCGTGATTTACATATGACAATGATTCATTTGCTACTCAATTTTTTTAAATCGTTGCTTTTTCAATAGTTTTGAAATCAAGCACTCGTTTCTATAGAACTTGGAAGCAACATCATCATTATCAGTTTGTACAGCAAAAAACTAGTGAAACATGCACGAACAAAATTGATAAGAAACAAATTTCAAGTTGTTCATATTTTATAGTTCATAGGCTAGTTGCTGTACATTAAAATATTTTAATAGCTTTTTTTGCGACTTTGTTGTCAGACTGTATTGTGCATTTAATAGCTTTCTGAGGCACAAAAGTTGATAAATTCATTTGGTTGGGTTGTTTTAAGGGTTCGTTTGGATATAGACGAGGCTTAGTAATGCTCAAAAGCATAGCCAGGGCCTTCCTTAAGATAACTTAAGCCATCCTTCATAACAACATCCTTTTAAAATTTTTGCCTACATTTCAGAGCTTAATAAACTTCCAAAAATAAATTTTAAGGTTAAAAACGAGAATCCAAAAATTTGAATGTCATGTTAAAGCGTTCCTAAACATAATGATAGCTTTTCTATATTTATTGGCCTTTTGGTCTTTTGCTTTTTGCCTGGAACTTAAAAACATGTCGAAAAATATCCATCAACATCATGTGACAGTCATAAAAGCAGTAAACCGCTAATTTTCACACAGCAAAACCAGCAACGATCAACAATTGACTAGTTTAATGTCATTTCAATTGACTGAAAATCGAACACAAGTGCTAATATTGCTTAATTCAATTTCAGCAGACTTGGCATGAAATAAAAGTTTTTCATGAAAATTTTCATGCATTTGTCAGCACCCATCGTAAGTGCTTTATACTCGTGTGCATAAAAAAAATTAATGACACTGTTGATTAACAGTCAGAAACTTATTTTTTTTTCAGGAATCTTAATTGATTTTTTTTTTATTTACTTTACTTCTCCTTCCTCATAGACATAACTCATACGTAGTGTGAGATGAAAAAAAAATATTAATAAAAACCTTTATATTCATCTTAATGAAAAGCTATTTTCCCGCGTGACTTATAATCGAAAGTCAACTTGTGATATTTATTGAGATCTATAAATCTCTTACGACGAAAGATTAATTTATTGGTTTTAAATTTACTTAACTCGTGATGGGGATTGAAATGGGAAATTAAGTACTAATCTTTGATGTGGATGTGGGCGCATTTTTGGAATCGACAGATGGGATAAAGGATCAGGATGTGATTTTAATAAAATGAGAGAATGTTGTTCGTAAGATAGAGAAATAAGTAGTACGAAGTGGAATAGGATTACAAAGATCCAAGGGGAGTACAAATTGATGGGAAAAGGTTTGTAATAAAACAACAACGCTAAGCAATTCCTCATCAACACATTTTTTATCAAGTTTTTCTCAACTTGTCAAGATCTCAAACCTTAAGATCAGGGTTTCGATACAGGCAACTGTGCGCAGGTGAGAACCGTACAATTTCTTGATAATTTAGATGGTTTTATTAAAAAAGCATACAAATTCTAATAAAACTTCACAAATTATCGAGGAATTGTACGGGTTTTAATTGTGCACAGGTGCCTGAATCGCAACCCTGCTTAGGTTTTATTGTAGATGTGTTCCAAAATTGAGGATTTTAATCTTCTTAATCTATGATCTTTGTCTACACTGTCAATTTTAGCTATTGCTCTACAAATACTTTCATTCTGAAACACTTACTTGTTAATTTTTGAATTTT